TCAAATGTTAAGTGCTGTATACTCTGCAAATGAAAATGAGAGGCATTTCTCTTCAAATTCCTAGGCTTATAATTGTCATAACCTGCCCCAGAGAACCAGATTTTACATTAAAACTGTATCTGCTGCAGCAATGCTTTGACATAATTATCCTTACTTAAAAAAATTTTTTTTTGTATCAGGGAACATAATAAGCATTTGAAAGAAAATGTGACTTTGATAATGTGTGGTTAGAATTCTTTATCAAAAACTGAGCTTTACTGACTCCATTGGTTTAAGTAGAATAAAAACACCTTTAAAGCTTAAGTTTTATAAAATATACACTTAGTAGTTTCTTGATTAGGTAAGTAGAGTACTATACAAATTGTCTCATAAAATTATTAACACTTCTGGCTCTGAAATGAAACAATTTAAAATTTTTGTCACCTTTGTCTCCAGGCTTTGCTATGATTTTAGTATGAAGATGATTAGTACGTTGCTACATTTGATTCACAGCCAAGTACTGAGTTGTAATTTCTGTATCGTCTCTTTGGTCAGCAAATTGAGTTAGGATGAGAATTTTAATGAAAAATTATAATGGCTCCTTGACTCCTAGTGATTTATGTAAATTTTGATAGAAAAGAGAACCATTCTGTTGCAAGTGATTGACTTTAGTATTTGTTCTCTTGAATAAAAGGGAACTTAAATAGAATATAAACTTAATGCTAAATTTAAATGTGTGACAAAAATGTTAAGTAGTGTCATTTAGTCAGTTTATATTTAAAACTGTGTTTTATAGATAGAATATTCTTGGGCTGGAATTTAGCTCAGTGGCATAAACAATTGCCTGGCAAGCTAGAGGTTGTGAGTTTGACCCTTGGTATGAAAAAAATCACGAAAAACTAAACCCTTGCCTTTTTGTCTCTTGCCAAATGTAAACATCTGTGTGAATTTCATCTGATTTTGGTCAGAATATACCTATGTTACCAAGTAGTATGTGCTTGAGTTTGACAGGAAGCAGTGAAAAAGTGGGCCATTTAAATATATATAGACACTGTTCATAGACTCTACATTTAATTCTTCTACTTTTATTTGAAAAACATTTGGCAGATGCTAGTCAAATCATTAAAGTAGTATGCTAGGCATAGTAGCAAAGAATCTGTTGTAAAGAAATCAAAAAATGAATGCAAAAGTTACAATCAGGCCAGGCATGTGGCATCACCTGTCATCCCAGGTACTTGGGAGAGAGGTTGAAGCAGGAAGATCCCAAGTTTGAAGCCAGCTTGGGCAACTTAGTGGGAATCTGTCTCAAAAAACACCGGTGATATAGCTCAGTGAGAGAGCATTTGCCTAGTGTGGATAAGGCCTTAGGTATAATTTCCAAACCCCCCCAAAAAAGAGAAAAAGAAAAAAATTAAAATCGTTTTAGATTGGAAAGGACTGTTTCTCTTACAACAGACTTCTTTTTAAGTCTGTTGCCAGGTTAGAGTACTTATGCAGATGTCCCTTTCTGAAATTGTCTTTATGAGGAAGGCTCTATAAGTTATTATAAAAACAATTTTCATTAACTATATTGCTAGAAAAATCAACTTCTGAAAAGCAAACTTAGATTCTTTTATACAACTGTGTTTATCACAATATAGTCACGGCAGGTATTTCATTAGCCACAAGAAATGAATTTCTTACTCACATTATCTGTTAAGGCAAAAACTGGTTATTCTGTCATTTTCCTTTTTCTCAAGGACATTTATTTTCAAATGATGAGTTCTTTTTATCAGTCTCAAACGAAAAAAGGAAATGGAGGATGATGGGAAAGATTATAACACACAGGACAGGGATAAGGAAAATAAAGGGGAGAAGCCATAGACGTAAGAACATGGAAGTGGAATTTAAAGAAATTTTTAATTGAGCACCTATTATGAACCTGAAAAATGGCTGATTTTAAATTTCTTTTCCTTTTTTCTGGTACTGGGGATTGAATTTATGACCTCATGCTTGCCAAGCAGGCACTTATGCCACTGAGCTAAATCCCCAGCCCAGTTTTGTTTTATATGCAGAAAAATTAAAATGTTTAATATTTCTAAACATCATTCTGAACAACATTCAAATAAAGTTTTGCTTTCCATTGACATTCTCACATGACTCAGAATCCTTAATAGGTACCATCACCTTATCAGGCACTGCAGATAACAAACGAACAAAGACCACAGCTTAACAGGACCTTTTACATGTTCCTATGCCAAAAACACCCATCTTGGGAGGTGGACCATGTAGCCTAGTGATTATGTACAGGGTCGTAGGCTGTTAGCAGCCTGGCTTCAAATTCCAGGTCTAATAAAGTTTCTGTGTGAGTTTAGGTAAAATACTCAAACCCTCTAAAACTTGCTCCCCATCAGATATTATACTTACCTCAAAGGCTGTGAGAATTAAAATGATATATGTAAGGCACTTTAATATACAATGCTTAAGTAAGTGGGTGCTGGGGTTGCTAAATGAGAGCCCTAGTATGGATTGACCTTGGGTTTCCAAATCTTGGGTGCACCTTCAAATCTTAACACAACGCATTCTTGAAATCGATCCTCTTCCTCCCAATTTACTGCACCTTAGGTATCAAGGCCATTGGAAGGATTCTACATGACATGTTCCCCTTTTTGGTACCCTTAATCCGACAAGTTCTTGATGCTAGGGGGCCAGCAGAGTAATGGCATTTTATCTCTGGGAAGTATTTCTTACAAAGGAGAAAGGGGTAGTGAGGAAAGCTGAGAACTCATTAAAGTAGATTAATGGCAAAAGTTTTAAATTTTAATCCACGATAAACCCACTTAAAATTAGATATACCAATTTATTCTTAACTAGGGGTACACATACATACTCAGATTTTTTATTTTTATTTTGGTAGTGGTTTAGCTTTTTAACAATGACAAGTTTTATACTTAATTTAAAATATTACAATGTTACATTGGTTCTTTAAATTTTCCAGATATATTAAATATGTAAGCTTAAGCAATAGGAATGAAGTATTTAATCAGAAAGTTGCCAACCACACCAGCCTCTCCTCCCACATTTTAGAATATAAAAGTACGTAAATATTTAGGCATAGTCCTAGCATGTTTGTTACCACTGTCCTATTAGATGTAATTATTTTCATCTCATCAAATTATTTTAATCCCTATTCATCTCACCTATAACTTTTTTTTCACCTATAACCTTCGTCTTTCATTTTTAATTCAATTTTTATACCTCATTTTTTAACTACAGTAAAACATGTTTTAAAGTCTATTATTCCTTTTTACTCAAACTTAATTACTTTTTGGTAATTAAAACTTGCCACATACAATTTGCTCATGTGGGTCACTTTTTCTGAGTATCTTAAAATTATGAAAAACTAACACAAGCCTTTTTTTTTTTGGTGCCAGGAGTCAAACTCACAACCTTGGGTTTGCCAAACAGGCACTTACGTCGCTGAGCTAAAACCCCTGGCCTCTAACATGGGCTTCTGAGTTCTAATATACTGTTCCCTTTGTTGTGCTTTATTAATCTCTGGGGTTCTTAGTGCTATTTATTAAGAATTATAGTTCATCCAAATTGCGCTGTAATTCGCAGCAACTGCTAGGATCGGACTCTTTCCCACCAGGATTTGTTTAGGAAAAGGAGGGCTAGGGATGTGGCTAGCAGTAGAGCACTTGCCTACCATATCAGAGCCCTGAGTTTGCTTCCCAGCACTGCAAAAAACAACAAAACTAGTCAGACTGCTCATTAAACATTAAGAAATAAAAAAATTGGACATGGTTAGAAAAGGTCCTTCAAAGTAAAAATGTCATCTCTGTGAGACATAAACCAAGATTTCAGTCCGTGAGGGGGGAGGGCTGAGTATGAATAAAGGTCGGAGCAGAGACAACTTCATCTCGGTTCATTCTCATCACTGCTCAGAGAGCAAAAAGCAATAGCAAAGGAGTGAGAGCTGTGCAGCTCAAACCCTGGCAAGAAGTTGACACAGAACATAGCTGGAGACAAGTGTTGGGTATTTTTCACTACCCATCCCTACCAATCCTAAAAGCCAAGTAGCCTTTAAATGAGTTTTGCCTTGATAAAGAAAACTGTATATTGCATTTGAAGTATTTGCTACCCTGTAGCTAATTCCAAAGCAAAAGTGTGTTCTCTGTGGTATGAAACAGGGAGAAGGCATCATGAGGTATGGCTTGGCTATGGTTTATTTACTTGCTGTAAATAAACTTTTTGTTTATCTATTTATTACATGTCAAAACACTAAATTAAACTCACCCTCCTAACAAAATAGACAAATAATACTTTCTTAAAAGAGTAGTATTTAGAAAAAGTCCTTTTCATTAATGGTAGGAAACAGAACCTTTGATTATTGCAAAAGAACTTTTGATAAGAGCTGAAAAATGTGATCCCAAAGAAAATTATGTCCATTAACAGACTACACAATTTGGAAATTTTGTTTACCTTACTCTTTATACTACTCTAGTCTCTGGGTTTGTTAAAACTTGTTTATCAGGTTGCTAGAAGTTATATATACATGCATCCTATATTTCATTTTAAGTTGCAGATTTAAGTACTTGATAAAACTATTACATCTAAGACTCAAATGAATCTTTTCCTGTTTTGTTAGGCGATTTAAAAAAAAATCTTGATTTTTTTAATTTAACTTTTTGTGCCATTCTACTTCCCATTACTTTAATTCTTTACTGGCTCCTTTGCTGTTTGTATCGTATCCTTATTTAACATTTACACCTATCCCCACAAAGCTCACACTGTGTTCCAATACCTTCAACTAAATTAGTACTGTACTAGCCAGTATGTCTCTCAATTTCCTTGGCAATTTGTTATTTTATGCAAATTATATATAAAAATGATATGCTTATCTTAAAATCTGTGAACAAATGGAGCTATGCAATTACTGTTCGTAATCACAAAACTGTATTTTTAAATATAGAAGTTAGTTAAAATCCCTTTCATTATGAGAAGGGTGTTACATTGCAAGTAATTCACATTAAAAGGCATTCTATTCAGTATATTTATTTATTGATGGGTCAGGTTTGCCAGTGTTTTAGTTCACATGTAATTGATATAGACCCTATGTCAATAACAACTAACAATACTACTTTAGTTGAAAAATGATAAACTGTTTCCATTTATGTTGTGATTGATACTCCTCAAATTTTGTATCCTTTACAGAAATAAAGCATCATAAATTGCAATTTGCCACAACAGTTTCTCCAAATCTTAGTATAAGACACAACACAATTTTGTGCATTCTATTTTTATAGAACAACCAGATTTATAATTGATTTCTTTATTAGATTTATTAATATACATGGCAGCTTTCTCAAATCTCAAAGTACCAAAAGTATGTCATTTTAAAGGTGAAAAATCACTTTCCTTTAGATATTCCTATAAAGCTATTAAAATCTATTTATAAACAAAAATAATTGATAAACACACTTTAGAAATCAGAATTTAAATTAAAATATTTTTAATGAATATGTCTTTTAATTAACTATCATAGTTAAATTTCATATCACAAAACAAAATGGCTTATCCCCACCAACTTCACAAGTGAGGGAAAGTCATTGGGATTTACACTTAATATAAGTTTTAAATGTGATTAAATGATAATATTTTATCAATTATAGGAAATGATCATTTATAGTAATTTCCTCAGGTCAATGAATCTTTTTAGGCCAAGTTTGAGCCCATGTCAACCTTAAAGGTTACATTCAGTGCACCTAACTTGCCTAAGAAGCTTGTCAATTTAAGAATATGAGTTTCACTGATAAGACGGGACAATAAACAGTAGCTAATCTGCTGTTCAGTTGACAAAAGACAAAAAAAACCAAAACCAAAACAAAACAAAACAAAAAAACCCCACTAAATCTGAATGGAATAATTTCAAATAATAATTTAAAAAATTTTTTCAAACTTTAAACAGAAATGGCCAATGATGCTGGCTTAAGATTTCACAGGATAACCTTAAAAAAGAAAAAGAAAAAAAAAAAAAGCACATAGAAATAGTGAAGTCATCACCTTATTTATAAAAAAACTAAAGTTTAATATCATTGAAGGGGTAACAACAACTTATTGTCTACATTTAAAAGTAATTTTAAAGAAAACTAGAAACAAAAAATGCTATTAACAACAAAAATAAGCATTTAACACCTAAAGTGTAGATACTTAAGATTCTAAATAAAAATATTAATGATAAAAGGGCCTTGAAATTTTTCTCAACAATTCATCTTATAAAATCGATTTCTAAATAGCTCATATTCTTTTTTGCTTTGGTGTTTTATTTGCTATTGACTAGACATTAATACAGTAGAAAATCACTTAGGTTCTTTTCAAATGCTTGGCATTATAGTGTGATCTCATATCTTTCCTCAAATTAAATTTTGCTCCACATATTCCACATGTATACAGATGAACATCCATGTGCTGCTCCAACTGTTCATTATTGGGGAATATCTGAAAGCAGACCTGGCATATAGTCTCACCAGCAGATAAATGAGAAATCATATGCCGTACATGGTCATGTTTTCTGAAGTTTCCTTGATCACAAATGGAACAGACATACCTGGCCATACCTTTGTGCATATCATTGTGCAGACGCAACTGACGTTCTCTTAAAAACTGCTTCCCACATGTCTGACAGACAAACTGTTTTTCCTTAGTATGAACAGTATAATGTTCTCTTAAATGACACCGCTGATAAAATCCTTTCCCACAAAGATTACAAAAATGCTTTCGCCTATGATCTCTTTCATTTTCTTCCATAATGGCACTCTTAAACACATCTTGATCTAAGCAGCTAGACATATGTTCAACCACTAGATTTTCAGTTTCAAAACGCTGGCCACAATTAGGACATCGAAAAGGACAGGCAGAATGTTTAAATAACTGCTTTTTTTGGATACTGTTTATCTGGTAATGACTGTCCCTAAAATCATCCAGCATTTCAACAAACATATCTCTTATTTCAGACTGTTCATCAGGGTTTTCTTCCATGTCCATCTTCTCCTCAGTATTTCCTAGCCCATTCATGGTCAGGTCTTGGGGTTCTCCACATCTCTGAGCGTGTTCCTGAAGCTGTCGACCCTTGACGAGGATCTGTCCGCATTTGCCACACGCACAGATGTTCTCGATGTGTTTGGCTAGGTAATGAGATGACAGGTCCTCTTCTGTTATGGTGAGTCCACACAGCTCACAAGAGGCATTTTCGCTATCCTCTTGTACTGGACTGCTGTTGTTAGGGGGCCTCAGATTTTCTAAAGCACCTCTCTCTTCAGAATTTATTGACATCCGAGGTTTCAGAGTTTTCCTGCCAGTTTTTTTAATGCCAACATTTTCTTCGACATAGTATCTATAAAATGGTTCTTCAGGTTCATCTTCTAATTCATCATTGTCAGTGGATTCATTACAGTCTTTATCAGTGACTTTAATAATGTTAAAGTCTTTCAGCTCATCTGTAGGAATATCTTCAGGCTCCACCTTAATGATGATTCTTTTCCTCTCAGCAGCCCTGCTTTTTTCTTCGCTGGCGAGTTCAGACTCCACTGTGCTTTTTCTGCTTCCAGTGGTTGAAGTGGAATCATCAGGAGCCTGGCTTGTGTCTCCTCTGTATTTGTCTCCCTGTGCAGAAAATGTTTTAGATGAATCCTTTTCGCCAAACTCAGCTTTGATGTTACTGTCTTTTGCATCTCTAATATCTACTATTCGGTGGTAAGATCTTGTGTTTTGGTATGAATGTCTATTAGTACAAGTAAGCACATGTTCATCTAGTAATTTTTCACAGCTAAAGCCGAATCCACAGCTGTCACAAGTAAAACTCCGTCCAAAGCGTCGTGACACCCTTTCTTTTGGAGCAGATAGTTTGGACACAGAACTTTTCTTACATACATCAAACAGTGGCTCAGGAAAATTACCTAATTGCAAAGGTTCTTCATCTGGTTCTCTATTATGAGGTGTATTTACTGTTGAACTTGGCTCTGCACACCACCTGTTGGCTTCACTGCCATTTCTAGCCACAGTGTCTTCATACATTCTTACCCCAAATATCATTTTGGTATTCTGTTTGCTGGAAGCAGAAGATGAACATTTTGAACTAGAACAATCTGCATCTTGTATGTCTTCTAAGCAGTCAGGAACATTGTACAGTTGTAGGTAGTTCATTGCCACTTTAAACTGTTCAAAACTGGAAGGAGCTGTCATAATTTTTCCTAAATACATAAATTGCAAAATGAGATCAAAACACTCAGCACTGATTTTCATGTTGCTGAGATTCAATTGTGCAGTACTGTGCTGATGGTTCATGAAAAACATTCTAAAGTAGGAGCTACAGGCAGCTAAAACTGCTTTGTGTGCTTGAAAGTAAATGTCATCAATTGCAATACAACAGTCACAGAGAAAACCCCATTCTCTTTGGTTGTTTAGCTGCTGAAGGACGTAGCTGCTATGGCTGGGCTTTGCCATCTTCTAGTAGAGACCTACGGAAGACAAAATATTAAAGTCAGACAAGATATAAATGAAGCACTTGAAAAACAGTAATTTTTACCATGATTTTTGACTTGTGTTGACTTTGCTATTACAATCAAGGTGTAATTCCATTCTGATACACTCAAACTCAGTAATGTACACCTGAATCATTTTTTTAAAGATGAAGATACTTAAGCTGTTTATTCAGATTTCTCATAATGAATAAAGCATCATAAGCAAAAACTTTAACTGTAGTTTTATTACAACTCTAAGAGGGAAAATACATACTAAATTTGAAATAAAATGACACTAATTTAAAAACACTTAAAAGGACACAAACAATGAAATAAAACAGCAACTTAAAGTTAGTGACTAGATTATAGAATATTAAGACTTTTTAGGTGTTTAATACTAAGGAACTACTGCTCATTTCTAAATGAGTGCATTTCTAAAGGGTTTTTTATTTTTTTGGTCTTTTTGAGACAGGGTCTTACCCTGCAGTTCAGGCTGGTCTTGAGCTCACTTTGTAGCCCAGGGTAGTCTGGAACTTGCAATGATTCACTTGCCTTGGTCTCCCAGTGCTAGGATTATAGGAGAGCACCAGCACACCTGGCAGTTTTTGGTTATGTTAAGAGTCCTTTTATATACTTAATGTATATTTATGGATGGAATTATATATTTGTGGTATTTTTCAAAATAAGTGAGGTAGATATAGGTGCTATAAATGATACAAGATTGACTACAATCACTGAAGATAACTAGAATTCTGTCTATATATTTGAAATTTTACATAGACAAATTTTTATTTTAAAAAAACTTATTAAATTGTATGGACACCGCAGCAAACAAACAGGTTTGGTCAATGTTTTCCCCTTTTCTTGAATTAGTGGAAAAATGGTAATTCTGTAGAATCAGAATAAATATTCATTGTTCAACATGCATTTCATAGTACAAATAAGCAGTAAATTTACTTGGGAATCACATGTCTATCTTTAGATTGTACATTTTTCTTTTTTAAAAAATTGTTACAGTATGCAAAACTAACACATGCTCATTGCAAAAACACATACTAGTATATGGACCACAATGCCTCAAGTCAGGTACCTCTTCTGAAGAAACCCCTCCAAATATTCTGGATAATATACTTTCAGATCTGTTTATATGCATACAAACACAGGCAGCATGTTAAGTACTTACAATGTGCCAGGAACACAGTTGTGATTTTAATGTGATTTGTATACCACATATACCATTCTACAACTAGTTTTCTGAATTTAACATGGGTAGATATTGTGTTTTTAGTGCAGGGAATCAACTTTAGATAAACAAGAGGGAAAGATTTAAATCACTGGAAGTCTGCTTGGTATAGTGGTACATGCCTGTAATCCAACCATTCTTATTAGAGGCTGTGGGTGGAGGATCACAGATTTAAGCCCAGGTTGGGTGGCAATTTACTGACTTAACAAAAAACTGTTAGAGAAACTTAGAGAACTTAATGTAAAGGCTCTGGGTTCAATCCCAAAAACTGCAAAAAATAAAGAGAATGAAAATACAAAATACATTAGAAATCTTATCTATTACACTACATATACAAGTAAGATCTAATTTTGGCCTCGAAATTTTAATCTATGTACATGAAGTTTCAGAATCTATCTTCTACTGAAAAGTTCCTGTATAGACAATATTACTGAACTTAATGACACCTGCTACCTTCTTAAAATAGCAACAACTGTGCCTTCTGGAAGCCAAATAAAATGTTTCAAGTAGGCAAAATATTTCCAACACTTTGTAAATTGTATATCTCTACCAAACTGTGAGGAATCAGGTTCACCATGTGCCAAAAAACAAAAGCAGTATACGCACAAAGATACTCACTGACATGTTTCTTAAAATTTGAGTGCCTGTAGTAAGAGAGCTTTATAGGCCGTGGATTTAGTTCAGCAGTGCAAGTGCTTGCCTAGGTCATGAGTTGGATCCCCAGTACCAAAAAAGACAGGAAAAAAAAAAAAAAAAAAAAAGGAAAAGAAAAAAAGGAGTTTCATGATGACCTAGGATCAATCTACTCCCTAGAATTCACTCTTTCAAAAATTCACTGGTCTTTAAAATTTGTATTTCGGCCAGATGCAGTGGTGTACACCTGTAATCCTACCACTCGAAAGGCTGAGGCATGAGTACTAAGAGTTCGAGGCCAATGTGTGCTACAAACTGAGTTCAAGGCTAACCTGAACTGCATAGTGAAACAAAGACTAAAACTAAGACCAAAAATAGGGCCGGGATTTAGTTCAGCAGCATAAGTGCCTGCCTGGCAAGCATGAGGTAGTGAGTTTGATCCTCGGTACCAAACAAACAAACAAAAAAATAAACAAATACATACATAAAATTAAAAAATTGTATTTATGAGGGCAAGGATGTGAGTATAGTCTCAGGATGTAGAATCAAATTAAAGGAAATACAAAATTACATTACAATTAGAAATATGAACAATATTACCTTATTCAAAAGGTAAAATATTTCACAAAAATGTAGCCTCGAATCCATTTTTAGTAGAGTGAGATTTCCAGGCCTGTAATCATTTTTGTCTGTTACTGGCTGCATCACTGGAAGAACAAGTTTATTACAGCTGAAAGACATGGGATGGAGCTAAGGGCAGAGCCTTCAAGTGTGACTCAAAAAGAACACACCCTTTACATGGAGGAGATTGTTTCTATAAGCTACGATGACAGCCAGGGTGCGGCACTACAGCAAGAAAAAGGAGTTAGATAATCCAAAAGTTTCATACTGAATTTTAAAAATTTAAGTTTAAATGACTTCATCTCAAATTCAAAAACAGCCACTACACACAATAAACATACTAATTTAGATATCTGTATTGCTTAGAGTATTTTATGGAAGAAGGCAACCATCTAGAGCCCTAAACTATGTATCAGAATATAGCTATGTTAAAGTAGGGACTAGGGCTACAGAGCAAGGCCTCCTATCTACCCAGACAGCAAATACGCCCTCCTCAGTGCTGTGCATGTGGCCTGCAGCACACCACGCCCACCAGGACTGCACACGGTCCTTAGTATGGATGCAGCTCACTGACCAGGCACTGCTGCTGCTCAAGTCACTGCTCCTATCTGAATACTATGTGCAATATGGTTTTATCTCTACATGTCCTTTTAGTCTTACTCAACAGACATGTTCCCTAAGTTATTCTGTGTAAACGGTTTTGCCCATTTCTCACGCACAGTAAAACTTCAGAAGTAATTTTCCTCTATGGCATATCTCTTATATTGGAAATAACAGCATTGCTGGAAGTTCTTTTTGCTCCAGCCTTGGTCAAGTGATAATTTAAAGGTCTACATTACCTCTAAAACTCAAGAAGTATTCAAGTAGGGGTTGAGCATCTCTAATCTGAAAATACAAAATCCAAACTCCTACACTTTTTTGAGTGCCAACATGTCATTAAAAACCATAAAAACATTCCAAAATCCAGGAAAACTCTGTCCAAAAATCTGAAACACTTCAAGTCCTAAGTATTTTGGATAAAGGATACTTGTAAATATATTTATTTTTTTTTATTTGTCTTATGTGACTAAATATATGGATTTTAACTGGAGGACTATTTAACTGGAGGATTATCTTTTTTAAAAGCTAGAAATGTAATGAAAGGATTCTCATAGTTTCGAAATGGGAGTATCAGAATGTTCCTCACACCCACCATGTTACTATGGTGAGGTAAAGCACTGAGGCGCAGAAAGATGTATAGAGGAGAGCTAATTATATATGAGGGGTTAAATTTGAAACCAAAGAACAATTAGGTGCTAAATTACACTGAATAAAGTACACCAAGAAGTTACAAGAAAAGCAGGAATTATACCAGAACTGTAAGCTTTAGAAAGCATGTAGGAGTTAAGTGGAGCCTTGAATGAATAGGATAGGGAAAAAAAGAAGGCAAAGGAAAAGGTATTTCAGGTATTTGTACAGATATGTATGTAAACAACTGTGAAGAACTGTGGGAGACAACTCCAGTGACTCTCCTTGAAGGCAAAACAATTGCTGCAACTTTGATTATATGGAGACTTATTTCCTTGTACTGGTAAGTAGAGAGCTAGCTATGGTATTTTCTTTTTAATTGGCTCTAACATCACAAATAAGGCTTGCGGAGGCATTGATATGTAATCTCTAGAGCCATCAGTCTCCTATTTCCTGAATAGTGCTCACTGTAAAAGATATGAGGCCCTTCGATGTTAGAGCCATTAGCTCCAGGAATGGCATGAGTCTCAAGGTAAAGAGGCTATGACTCCCCAGAGCACAAAAGTTTACATATCAGAAACCAAAGCATCAGCTTCCTACAATTCAGTTGCTACCTTAATAGAATTATGCAAATCAACCTTCTGCATATCTCTGCATTTTGCAGAGATGCTTTTCTCCCAACCTGGATAGCTAGCTCAAATTATTCATGTAATTCCCGCCATCTTGTGTCACTCATCCCTGAACCACCCCCCTTCTTCACAGGATAAATTCTGGGAGAGGCCTAGGATCATGGCCTTTGTCCATGTGTCCTCACAGTGATTGGACTAAGGACCCCTTGGCTGCCCTTCCCTTGGAATATGTCTTGATGTCTTTACTCTCACTGTGGGTTGCATTGGTGGTGGGGTAGATTGGAATTAACTCTGCTGGGATTCCAATGTCTCAATGGGATTACAAGTATAACTTGTTGGATTGTGAAGAAAATTAGAAAAGGGGTTATGATACTTATATAACTGTACTTAATATTTGGGATCACAATAAAGAATTATACAACAGTTTAGCTAGAAATGTAATGAAAGGGAATGCAGATTTGCTTTATTAAATTGAGGATGAAGATTATGAAGGTAGGGTATACCATACACAATATTAATGTGAACAGCTAACATTTGTTAAGCCTCACTATAGTATTGGGCTTTATTTAGGCAGATGTATAAGTTATTCAGCCTTAGGTATTTTATTGTAGTGATGAAAAGCTGACAAAGGCAGAGGCATACAATGTTACACACATGCCATAAAGAGAAGACTTTCTGGAGCTGGGGATACAGCTCAAGGGGCACGAGTGCCTGATTGACAAGCAGAAGGTCTTTATTTCGATTCCTAGTACAAGAAAATTTTTTTTTCTGGGATCAGAGCACAGCAGTATGCCTCTCCAATCTATGATCATGGTCTTGAAGACTTTACCACCTATAAAAGTATCACAGCAGGACCTGGGGATGTAAGTCAGTGATAGAGCACTTGCTTAGCTTGCAGAAGACCCTAGATTATTTACTCCCTGGTGACTCAAAAACAAATGCAGATCAGCAGCATTTCTTTCCAAGACATACAGTCCAAACATTAAAGTGATTAAATCCCTTAGCTTCCCTCCTTGAAACTTTCTGGAATAACCAGAAGATGCTCTAAAAGAAAAAAGGTTTTACTTTAAGCCATTTAAATGTCAGACATGATGAAGTTTAGAAATTTCATTCACCATTTAGGCTAAGGATGCTGGCTTGTTATTAAACTATAAATTCAGTACTTAGTATAGGAAGTTCTGAAACTTAATTAGCTATATTCCAAAACTTATTTTTAAATTATTTGGAACCTGAAATATATATTCCCCAAAAAACAATGTTGTAAATGGAGGCTCAGTTTCATGCTCATACCCTAAGTCTTTTAAAACCAAACTGTGTGTGAATCCCAACAATGCTGCAGTATCACGTGCTTCACTAGCACTGAGATCTAAGGAGCAGTATGGTACAGTACTGCCTACTATACTGACCCCTCGAGGACACACATGCGGCTCAATGGTCCTTATGTTTAGCATACTCTTCCCACATACTTGGCATTTAAATACATGCTTGTCAAATGAAAGAATTAAAAAAAGAGTCCAGAAAGGCAGGACTGCTAGATTTGAACGCCACTTCTATTACTTATGCAGGCATGAGGAAACTTATTTTACCTCTCTAATCCTACTTTTCCCAGCTCTAAAATAGGAATAATCATACTCTTCAAAGGACTTTTGTATATGTTTTTTTTTTTTTTTTTTTTCCCTTTTAAATTAAGCACAATCCGGCTAGGGATGTGGGTCAGTGGTAGAGTTCTTGCATTGCACGCACAAGGCCCTGGGTTTAATCCCCAGCACCCCCCCCCCCACACACAAAGCGTAATCCAATCTTTAAAGAATCTTAATGGCATCATTGTAAACATATTTATAGAGTTATATGAAATGATCAAGTTCAACCCATGGTTTTATAGACCAGAAAGTAAACTGAAACCCTCAGATGTTAGTGATGTACTCAAAGTCACACTGTTTTAATGGCTCCCATGATAAAACCTTGGTTTCCTTCACCCTGGTATAGGGCTCTTCATATATGTTTACTGGTCTCAGGTGTGGTATCACCTGTCTGTTTTGTCCTCTACATCGATTGTTTTGCTGAAATACCAGTGCTGGTCAAATTGGCAAAGGTTGTTTGCAGTTGGTCGGGCATGGAGGAACATGCCTGTGAAATGCCAGCATTAGCAGGCTGAGGCAGGACTGCCAATGTGAGCAGAGCCTGGGCAACTTAGTGAGACCTTGCTCAGAAAGGGTTGAGGGTATATCTCCTCGTGAAGGCCCTGGGTTCACTCTGCAGTAATGGGAAATTTTTTTTCCTTTTGCCTACACTAAATGTCCTCAGACTATAATGCTTTTAGAGACTTCTGGCAGGTTGATATTTTGGTCTCCTTACCAAGACAACAGTTTGCACTTCTAAAAGGTGTGCCAATCTCTGATGCCCACCATTTCAGTATCTTATGGCCCAAGAAACTAGATACTCATTGAAAATCAATGTCTAATACTTTAATTTTTTGTAAGGACCTAGGCAAGTGCTCTTAAGTATGCTGTAAGGCTTCAATTCTTGAATTTTGTTCATAGGCAATCAAATTCCTGTTCTGCTTTTTTCCAAGGCACAGTCTAGCTAAGGTTAACTAAGTAACTTGGTAAGTGAGACAACTCAACTGCATTATGGCTTATGAACTGAATTAGTGAATTCATCCACACATAAGGCAGAGCAAACTTAATGGTTTTTGTAATATTTTCTTTCCTTCCAGGAGTAAAGGGTATTTAATCCAGGCTGACTACATTCTCATCTGTTCAACCTAAGGAGGCCTCAGGCACTATGACCACCAGAGGGCACTGTGTAAACAGCTGGCTCTTCTCAGCTAAAAGTGACTTCACCAGGAAGTCCCTTTCTGCACATGGTATTTGTGGTCTCAGGATTCATTTTGTAGGACTTCTGTCTATACCAAAATATTCACTCTGTGTCTTCAGCCTGAGTGGGGTCCAAGTAAAACTGCTCCTCTATCTTCTGTCTCAGCTTCCACCACTACAAATCAATCATTCAGGCTACTTGGGTGTCACCTGGAACTTACAAACTACTGCTTTACCAATTTCCCTACTTGTATTTCTCAAATCTGCCCCTCATTTCATCCCTACCTTCTTTGCCCTTATGAAGCCTCTATTATTAACTCCAAGTTATTAAAACAAGCTTCTGACCTCCTCCCTTGAATCTTCCCTTCACTTAGAGGATGCACAAAAACAAAAATTAAGATCATGTCATTCTCTTGCCATAGTTCCCCTTCATATATCCTCAAGCTAAGGTATATCTCATTAGTAAACATCCAAAGAACCTCTCTGTCCACCCACTCTTCTATTTGGCTAACGCCCTACTTCCAGCTTCGTGTTCAAGCCACACAGGACTACCTGCTAACCAACCCTGTCTTCCCTCACTCTACATTGCTTCATGTATTTCTCCAAACATTTTTTTTTCCTTTGGAACTGGGGATTGGATTCATGCCAGGCAGGAGCTGTGCTTATTCGTAGGTTTTACTCATGTTGATTGGTTTTGTCTGAACCTCCCACACATCACTTAAGAACACCCTTATTACCTCCTCCTAAAAACACTCTAACAACTTCCTCTTCTTCTATTTCATATTTCTGTGTATTGTCCTTACTTTGCATGTACTGTATTATACTCTATTTTAATAATCAGAACAGGAATACTGAGTAGGCACTAGAACATACTAACCAAACTGCCTGAGCTCTGCCACCTAGAGAGTGCCCTTCCTGGGTTGCTTAATCCACTTATGCCTCAAATATTCTCACCTAACAAGAGGCAGTAACTTTCTTAGTTATTATTGTGAGGCAGCATCACATGAATAGCAACTGGCTACAATTCATCTGTGTGCTGGTCCCTCTCACTACCTTGTAAGCAGCTTGAAGGCCAAGATTTTAGCTTATTCTATCGTAATGAGAGGAATCTCCCAGTTTCCTTCTTTCAGCAGATCTTAACAAATTAAAAGAATACTGTATTAAAAAAATTAAAAAACACTATATTGTTTCCAATTCTATGGTTCTAGTATTTTTAAAAATTCTAACCAAAATCCTGAAAATTCAACATCCTCATCTAGTTATAATTCAAGGAAATGAAGCCAACAGAGTATCATAAAAAAAAATCATGATTTCTCTCACTGTAACGCAACAAACACAACAAAAGCCTTCCTTCCACACTGCTAATTTCCCTTGCTTACTTCTCCATGTTTATCTCGTTTCTTTCGAAGAGTTCTGATTGGAGGGGAAGGCAGGTACCGTGCTTATGTGCTGCCCACCTCACACATGTCATTGTAGGGTGACAGATAATGCAGCATCCAAAGTGGGATGCTGTATCTCTCTCTCTCCACATTTAAGGTTGCTGCTGTCATTACCGCACCCTGCTGCTCTAAGTCCTTGACACTGAAGCCTTATCTTAGTCAGCAATGCAACCTCTGAGCTTCTGACATGCTGCCTAACATTTAGTTGACATCTGATGTTTTGGAATGAATAAATGTCGAAGTAGGTAAGTTTTGTTTTGCTTTTCAGTTTTTGCTTATTTCAGTCAGCAACTTATTTATATCGTGCTTGACATTTTATAGAGCATTTTCCACACATCACACAACTGAGTCTCATAACCATCCTGAGATAGGAATTTTTACTGTCCTCATTTTGTGAACGGAAAAAACATGTCCAGTGGTTGACTTACCCCAAATTGCTCATCTTGTAAGCAGAAGCTGGGGACTCAAACTCTCTTTTGATTCGAAGTTCTAAGTTTCAGTTTTTGTAAACCAGACTACACTTTCTGGACATGACTACTAACTGAAGCTTTTATTACTTTAGAACTTCTAAGCTTCCCAGAGTTTCCCTTTTCCATGAAGCTAAAATCCTCATGCTGCCCCATCTTGCAGATGAGCACAATGCCAGCCCCTTCCCTGTCTCCTTTTTCACCTGCTGACTTCCACTGCTTATGGAGCATGCTCACCCCTATACCACTTTTTAAATGGAAATGGAGCTCTTTAAGTTACCTCAGAAAAGGATTACATGTGTCTCACTTGGCTAATACAAAAATCAGGCTGGTAATTTAATTCTTTAACTTTAAAATTTTGAAAGTCACAGTTGTGTAAAAAAATCCATGTCTCCAATACCCTCCAGCAATCAAGCTGTGATTAAATTTCTGTGTACTGTTTTGGTGCTTTGTTTTTTGAACATCCAACCTCTTCAGAGCACATTCTTGAATATAACAGGCTAAGGAATAAGTGATTCTGTACTCTAAGATCTTTCACAGTTAATATACAAATGACCATACATGCAAAATATAAGTGAGTTAGAACCCACCTTATGCAAATGTAAAGATGTCAGTTACAAATGGCATTTATGCCGGAGTCTCCTACTATCCCATACCCTTATCAGTACTTCCCATGCCACATCTGAAAGCAGCACCTATCCCTATTAGAAAGTCCCTTTCTATAATTTCCTTTGCATAACATTTGGCATGCACTCTCTGGAAAATGACCAGGAGGAATCCCTACCATTCAGTATCAACACAGGGATATTTTGGCAGTGGTCTTCAAGGCAAGTACCATATATCCCCTTGTACCCAACTGTAAATTAGGTGAATTAGGAAATGCTGTACACATGTGAGAGATTTTGTTTTAATGAGTCTGACAGGTATGTAGCAATCTATCAGAATGGGTATCAACAATAGCAAAGTGTGAGAACCACCCCAGCAACATTCACTTCATGAGGTCAAACCTGCAATAGCAGCTGTGATAAATTTAAATTCTCATGACTATCATTTCAACACAGCATTTAAAGTCGGCTCAAACCTCCCTTTCCCTCCACCTGACAATGCTCACCAATCTCCGCAGTGAACAGAGAACATGAGCCCATGACTCCTGACAGTCTGCCCCGGGAAGGGAGCGACACACACAGCAGCCCAGCTATGATCTAATGTTGCCGTCTCTCGTTTCTAAATCAAGGACTTGGCTGCTCATAGTGATTATCTCCAGGGAAAATAGGAGTCAAAATGACTTTCATTTTTGCATTTTATATATGCCAGTATGGGCTGAATTTTTATAAAGAGTAAGGATTTTTTAATTTTAAAAATGTTTTTTGATTCTGAGAAGTCATGAATAACTTTTAATTTCTGGCTCACATCAGAATATATGCAAGAAAAATTACAAACCAATTCCACTATTTCATCATGAGATATTACACAAGAAAATATCAGGAGTCAGGTATGGTAGCTCTTGCCTGTAATCCCAGTACTGGGGAAGGCTGAGGTAGGAGGATCACCGTGTGTTTGAGGCCAGCCTGGCTTTGCGGGCAGCCTGCACAACACAGTGAGACTCTCAAAAAAAAGAAAAGAAAAGAAAAGAAAAGAAAAAGTTAACCATCAGAACATTCTATAGAGACCAAAGTGTTCTCTCAAGCAGATATTTATATTTTTCAAATGTATCTTTTTAAAAGATTTTGTTTAAAAAACAGAAACCAAAACCTATGGAAATATTTCTGCATTTCTGAATCAAATGATTCCCTTCTCTTTGGGCCGGCAAAGGTTTAGTGCCTTGCTGGCTAGAGAAGGACAGGCTTGAGGGCAGGCACTTTTTTCTCCTCCACATTAGAAAAGAAATGGTATTGGAAAGAACACGGAGAACTTTTTAAAAGGGTTAAAAGCTCCGTGAACTGTACCTTCCCCGCGGCCTGGCAAAAGAGAATGAGGAAGCAACACAAAACCTTAGCAGTGTTAAAGTGAAATCAAAAACACAAGGTCAAGAGCGGGTGACCGTTCAAGGCAAAGTCCTGATTAAAACAAGTTTTCTCTTTCCTTTGAAATTGATGCTTCAGCCCCCACCGTCCACCAAAGAGTAGGCAATCGTATTACTGGTGTAAAAGAACAGAAAGACTACTCAACTTGTGTTACTCAAAACCATGAAAATCTGCTCTTAATGGAGAAATTCTGCTTTTAAAATGAATCTAAGACATGAGCTGATGAAGGCTTCCTGCAGACTGTTTATTAACCTTTGCAAAGCTTTCATCACCATGCTTTTTTCGAGAAAGAAGCCTCATCTAGCTCCCAAAGCTACTCAGTTATTACTAAAGCATTATCTGACACTCGGCCAGCGATTCCAAAGTTTTAATGTTCAGACCAAAAGATAGCCAGCCACCAACCAGGCTCCATCTTCCCGTGTCTCCATTCTCCCTATTTCTCTATCTCATAGCCATTTGCACTAACACCTCACAGAACCTAACTCCGTTTCAAAGACGACCGCGATTGGTTTGAAGTTGTCATGAGGACTGCGCCCTTCAAGTCTGCTTGAGTGCCTCCACACTCGGCTCCAGGAACTGATTCTGACTTCGAAACGCCGCGAACCGCTCCTAGGATAAAAGTATCCAAGGGAGAACTCTTCCCATCGCGATACTGCCTGAGTGGCAATGAATGGGTCAGTGGAAAATCCGCGTGCACCTACCACATTCAACTATTCGGGAGCATTATCGCACACCAATCAATGCCCTCTCCCCAGAAAACAAGGACTTTGCTCAGCCTCTCCCCGACTCAGCCAACTGGGAAAGCCCTCAGAGGGAGCGGACGCGAGGCCCCGGTAAAAAGGGAGCCTGTGGGCGCGGAGCGACCCCGCGCCCACATTCGACGCACTTGCCGACGACAACTCCATTCCGGTAGGCACCCACCGCCAGAGGAGAGCGCACTTTCTCCCTGTAAAATAGCTCACTGAAAATTCCCGAACCCCACACCTACCACTTTTTTCTGAACAAAAAGCGTATGTTCCGACGAGAAAAGGGTGGGAAAGCAAGCAGCAAGAATCTGCACCGCCCAGGCGCCTCCCGCCTAGGCGCGCGCCCAAGTCCGCGGCCTCGGGGTCCCGGCCGCTTCCCCTCCCACCGACCGCCCAGTCTCGGCTCAAGTTAAGAAGCGGGCTCTGCACCCGTCAATCAACCGGGTCCTCCCGCCTCCCGTCCACCTCTCCCCTCCCCCCTCGAAAAAATAAAATAAAGGCAGAGAAAGAAAGGGCAAAGAAACTAATTTGGGAACTAGTCTTCACTGGAGCTTCGCTTCCGACCCAGGGAGGCCGCACGCCGGGATCGGCAGCGCCGACCACGAGCAGGCGGCCCAGTAGCCTCCCGTCGCCTGGTTCTCGCAGCGCGTCCGCCACGCTCCGGCTCCCCGCACGGTCGGCGCCGCTCCGGCCCGCACTCCGTCGGGCCCGCCGCCCTCCGGCCCGGCCCAAAGTTGCGCAAATCGCCTCACTACTGGCAAATACTCACCGGCCGCTGGGAACCAGGGCTGCGGAGATTTTAGGGAGTTTAAGGCAAATCGGCCGCGGGAGAGGCGGGCGGAGGCGAAGGGGCCGCGAGCTACAGTGGTGGCGGCGCGCGGCGCTAGGGCTGAGCTGCGCGGAGACTGCTCTGCCAGGGACTGCGCTGCAACAAAGGACTTCCGCTGCCGCACAGCCGCGCCTGCCGCACCGCACTGAGCCGGCCCCGCTTACGCGGCGACTCCGGGTCTGCCCACCAGTTCGCTGCGGCGTCCGCCAGCCTTCCCCTCCCTCTCGCCCGCCCACCCACTCCGCCGCTGGCTGCTAGGGGCACCAGCGGTCGCCTGTTTGTTGCAACAAGTTTCTGCGTCGGGCTCCGGGCGGGCTGGCACGACCCGCACCGCGGGGGCCGGCGCGGCGGCAGCCTGGCCACCCCTCTCCTGAGGGTCGGCTTGGGACCTCCTCCTCCTCCTGTTTGCACAGCTGGATGAGACGCCGCTCCTCCCGACTCCCCAGGGGAAGGGTGCTGCTCTCCCACTCCGCCTAGGTATCAGACCCCTGTTCTGCAGAGCCGGCCCGGCGGCCCTCCCTTGCAGATCGCCCCAGGCGTTTTGGGGGCGCTACCACTCTTTGCCCTGTCCGGTCCACAGCTTGTCCACTCAGGGTCGCCCATTCCCCGCCCCCCTGCAGCCTTCGTGGGCCAGTCCACCACGAGGCCTGAGTCACTTCCCCCGCCGTGCTCCACCCCGCCCAGCCCGCCTCTCCTCCTAGGCTCCCATGGCTCGGCCCCACTGGCCCCACGCCCTCACCACTCTCCCGCAGAACACGCGGGCCCATCTTTCCCCGCTCCCACCCCAGAGTCGAAGGGGTGCCGGTGCTTTTGCACACCCTGGGGAAAGTCCCCGAGTCACGCGGCTGTGTGGGGAGCCTGTGACGCTCAGGCTTGTACCCACGCTTCCGCCCACACGGTCACAACTTGGAACCGCGGTAGAGGCAGCGCCCGGAGCGCCGGCAGACCCCCACCCAGCCACACACGCGGGCGCGCACGTACGCACGCGCGCACGCACACACACAGCCCCAGCGCGGCCAGTTCCCCAGCTACCAGACGTACGGTCACGTGAGCCCGTAGCGCGGCGGCTGGCGCGGGAAACCGCGCGAGAGCGGGCCGCGGGGTGCGTGAGCTGGCGCCGCCGCGTGCCTTGCGCGGCTGGGAGCCCGCCCCTCCCGCCCGGAGGAGTCGGCCCGCTGCCGCTGCGGCGTCTGGGTAAGCGACACGGCCCGTCCTTCCCGCCGCGGGCCACTCGGGGCAGCTGCAGCGGCACCGGTCGCAGGATAGATGCAAGTAACTGGGGGAGAGGGGCGTTTTTGGTCAGTGAAGCACAGGAGGAAAATGGCAACCGCGATTGAGCGTCGGGCGGAGGATGCTCGGAGCAGCTCTGCCGAGGGCCGCTGGGACCTGACACAGGCGGGGAGGGCGCGCCGCAAAGGCTTGGAGCCCCTCTCCCCGCGTGCGACCCCGCGCCGGGCCGCAGGCGTTGGGACCCGAAGGCCAGGCCAACCCCTCTTGCACGTTGGCCCATCTTCAGGTGCGGGATTCGAGGGCGTCGCCCCGTCGCCTGTTCAGTCTCCCTCCCAGCTTGTGATAGCTAGTTTATAGAGCTGAAAGCACCCAACCTCAACAGTTCATTTGTTTTCTTTTTCAAATGTTACTAAGCAAGTCCAGTTTTTCTAGTTGAAATCTGCCCCATCTTGTCACCATCTCTCTACCACTCAGCGTTTGGAAAAATCTAGCGGTTATTAGTTGCCTAGGCAACACATAGTCCATACCTGGAACCTGACAGCAACCAACCTATTCTATAAATTAATGCCCTTTGTTTCCCCACCCCATTCCCAGGGGATTAAAACGGTGTTTTTCTTGAGAGAGAGTCCTTTCAGCAGAACTGTTCATTCTCTCACAGGATTTTGACAAGTGTGTAAAATACATCTTAGAATCTTAAACCATAGAGCTGAGAGTGGCCTTGTCTAAAGTCCAATTCACTTAATTTTACAGGTGAAGATACCAGGCCTAGAGAGCAAAATGCTTGATCAAGTCCTGCTCTTCTCTATAGCTGGACTTTAAGGCTGAGGACACCTTGGTCATTGCAGTCTACCATACTGGAACTGTGGCTTCAGTCAGTGGAGTTCTCAAGCTTATTGAAAAAGGAGATTACCAGTGTGTGATGGTTCTGAAATAGTGGAGGTAGTGCGTTTCTAAGTGAGACAGGCTGCCTGTGATGTACAGTGAAGCCAGAAACCCATGCCTCTTTCCACCCTCCCCCCTCAAATGTTGGCCTTATGTCTGTGAGAGTAACAGACATTGTGGCATTGGTTGTCTGCTTAGTTTAAGGCATCAAAGTTTGTTTAGCAGTTTGCACATTTAGTAAGGGTAAACTGATAATCTGTTATCAGAATATTAACGTGATAGACATGAAATAAGTTGGTCCTAATGGCTGGAAAACATCAAGGGCTGGTCAGCAAGATAGCAAGAAGGGACCCTGCAGACCTATCCTATTCGAGTGTCTTTTGGATATAGTGCAGGTAGATTTTGCCCAGTTATGGTTGGTGTTTATTGAGTGCCTTCAGCAGACCAATTATTATAATATAGGACATATATCACCTAATTTCATGGACGAATTTTGGATTTTTACTAAAGGGAAGGTAGTACTGTCATGTTACAAGCCTGTAGAAATACTCAGAGATTTACCTGACTACACTGATGTAGTCATTTCCAGAGGAGTTTAAGCCTAGATCACTTATCTTCCGAGCCTAGTCAGTGCTCTTTTGCATTATATCTTGCTCCCACTTCAAGCCGGGAAAGGGATGAGAGAATCGCCTGTGGCCTATTTATTGGCGCCTGTGGTTGCCCAGAGAGGCCAACTAGGACTTTCAGCTGCCCTCTTTGCCTTAGAAAGTGGAGCTATGTGCTTCCACCCTATCTCTTGAGGGGAATGCAAAGGAGCCAGGCTGTCTAGCTGGGGAGGAGGGGCCCAAGTGCCTTGGCTGTGAAATATCCTGGCCAGGCTGTGCTGGGAAATCTTGCATAATGCCCTCCCTACCACTGAACCCAAGTGATTTATTTGCTATAGTCGGTAGGTGGTACTTGACCAACTTGTCCATTTTGGTAATAACAGGACCAGAAAAGAGGGGTTTTATATTATTGCAGATTCCCACCCCCCTCCTTGTTTTAAAAAAGTAGTGCAGGTGTCCTTATCTTGAGAAAGTATAAAGTACTTCTGCACCACTTCCTGTGCCCCCTTCCTGCCTGTTTATTCCCCAGAGCATATGAACTTCAATCTTGTAAGAGGGAAAGGTGAAGAAAATACTGCTTCAGTTTAGTCACCAGCACAGCGTATGGCATCAGACCTGCCTTTTGATCTCTATAGATTTGCTAGTTTATAGAACTGAAAGCACCCAACCTCAACAGTTCATTTGTTTTCTTTTTCAAATGTTACTATGCCCCAAGTTAAAATTTTTTTTTCATGTAAAATAAAAATGAAAGATACATTAGTTACAGGGAGGATTAACAGATAATGCACATAGGTCACTTAGCACAAGTCCTCAAACAGTTGCATATTGTAATAACTAACCAGTGGAATTAACCAAAATATTATTCTTCCTGGAAAAGGGAAAGTGTTGCCACTTGCACCTGTGTAGGGAAAATGTCAGGAGAAAAGGCCAACGTCAATTTCAGCATTATTAACTGACCCCTTTACTTACACTTCTGCTTTCTCTTTGCTAGCCAGAAGCTGTCATCTTCTCCTCCCCAGAAAAAAGTGTTCAAAGTATTGTTAGTTATTTTTGAAATTTTTAAAATTCATTTCTTCCCTGGTTACAGACCGGTCATACATGAATGCTTTATTGCTTCTTAAAAGCTGTAGACACTAGAAGCAAAGGATTCCATTAGCCTATGTGGATAGTACATTCGTGGAACTGTAATTGCCTGACAAAGTTAGTGCTGGCTCATTACATATTGAAGTTATAATCACTTGTGTGTACTGTATTCTAGATCTGTACCAGCATTGCTATTTTTAGACTTTGGCCTATTCTTTAAGTATCTTCTGTTTTTTAGCAGAAATTCGATCTTTTATTTTTCTCAATGGCCTCAGAAGATCTTTCCTTAATAGGGTTCAGATTTTTTAAAAAAATGTATGAACAATTTGTACTCATTGTTGATAGTATTCTTGTTGGTTTTACCAGACATCCCACAGTGTTGGTTAGATGGGGGTAAGAGATGGAGAAGGCTGGCAGTGTCTGCCAGCTGGCAGGCGGCCCCACACTAATGTTTCCCTGTTTTGTTAAAGGTTTCTAGAGCATAACTGCTCTTCCTGTATCATCTACCACTTCTACTTCTCTCTAATATTCTTTGTAAATTTTCATAAATAGATATCTAGAATTTATGGCAGAGTTTGTCTCCGAAAGCATTTTCAGATTTGGAATTTCTGAATTTTTAGAGACTGAAATGTAATGGAATATGAAACTAAATTGTTTTTCCTAAATATTTCTTTAAAAGTTAGAATATAATTTGTACCTCTCCACTAGTTTAGGAGCGCTGTTTTTTGTTTTTTGGCTCCTGGGAATCGAACTGCACTTTCGAGGCAGGCACTTATGCCATTGAGCAAGCCCCTGCTTTTATGTTTTAATTTGGCCTTTTTTTTAAAGTTTAAAGTTACAGTTAGAATTATTGTTGATGTTTGTTCGTTTAATTCCCACACTTAGTATACCTCTTGTGAAATTGTTTTTTTGTAAATGCTAGCATAACATCGTTCCATTTTAATTTGAACTAATCCAGAGGTGGTATACCCTACAAAGTAAGTTTTTTGACACCTCTTAAATATCAGTGTAACTTTAGGGTGTGAATTGCTCTCTTGGATTTTCTTGGTTTCCTGTTCTAAGGCACTGGTTCTTAACTGAGGCTTCATGTCAGAGTCTTCTGAGAAGCTCTGTAAAAAGGACTTCGAGGGCTGTTTGGGTTAGTTTGGGTGGAACTCCATTATCAATACAGGTCTACATAGAAGGCGTTACAGTAGTCAGTGATAACAATATTGGAGTGACAGACCCCAAATGCTGTTTCAGGATCAAACAAGTTCTATAAACAGTGATTCTTATCCCTATTTACTGTAATCAGATATCATATCTCCAGTCATCTGAAAATGCCATTCATTAAAATGAATGGCAAATGAAATCAGCAGGTTCAGATCAGCCCAGTGTGGTGGGTGGTACACACCTATAATCCCAGAACCGTGGGAGGCTGAGGCAAGAGCATGAAAATTTGAGACCACCTGCACAAATTAGTGACTGAGCAAGACCCTGTCTCAAAATAAAAAAAGGAGCTGGGGATTTAGCTCAGCAGCATAAGTGCCTCCCTGGCAAGGGCAAGGTCATGAGTTTCATCCCTGGTACAAAAAATTTTTAAAAAATAAATAAAAAGAGGAATGTAACTTGGTGCAAAGGCCCTGAGTTCAACCCCCAATCCTGCAAAAATAAATAGGATTGCAGAATAAAAAACAATGCCGCTCTCTGGCTTGTTTTTGAAGATACAGTTTAAAAAATATGTTCAAGGGGCTGAGGATTTAGCTCAGCAGGCATAAGTGCCTTCCTGGCAAGCAGGAGATTGTGAGTTCAATCCTGGGTACAAAAAAAATATATATTATATAGATAGATGTTTTAAGTTTTGCATTTTAAATTTATATGATATAAACATCTACATAAACATGTTTTTTATAATTCTTAATACTTTTATTATTATTAGCATTAACAGTATAAAATAATGAGTTTCATTATGACCCTTTCATATATGCATGTAATATACTTTGTGTCTATCCCTTAATACTTTTTAAGAGTGTAGCTGGATTTTGAGACCAAAACTTTTTAGAATGGTACATAGAAATGGCCAATTAAGGAGCTGGGGATTCGGCTCCGTGGCGTAAGTGCCTGCCTGGCAGGTGTGAGGTCATGAGTTTGATCCCCGGTACCAAAAAAAAAAAAAGAAAAGAAATGGTTGATTAAGAGTAACAGCTGTTTGCTGTACACCTCACACTGCTAAACATTTTATACTTGGGTGATCTTATTTCCAGTATAGTCTTTTTATTTTCACTTCACATGTGAAAAAACTGAAACTTATATTTAAGGTCATGTAGAGAAATGGTAAACAATCAATAATTACTATCATATAACTAGTCCTATAATTGGTATTATTTGAACAAGGCCAGTGATTTCTAGTAACTTGTAAAATATAATGTTGTACCTCCTAATCTATGTTGAGGTGTTACTTCAGAAGATTATGTTAACTTTATAATTTAAAAAGGTTATGTTGTAATTTGTTGCAATTTTTTGTTGACCTGTGTATAGTGAGAATTCATTTCTAATACACTAAAAGGATGCAGTGGTGGAATGAAAACAAAAAAATAAAGGCTGAATAGTTTCTATTGGGACAGTTCTGCAGATTAAAAGATACAAATTTAGGCTAGGCATGGAGGCTCATGTCTGTAATCCTAGCACTTGAGAGGCTGAGGCAGGAGGATCACCACGAGTTTGAGGCCAGCCTAGCTAAGTAGTAAATTCAAGGCAGTCTAGACCACATAGTGAGGTCTAGTCTCAAAAACTTAAAGAAAAAAAGTATAACTATGAAAGAAAAAGTCTAAAACATTATCAGATGGTCGTCAAGAGTGAATAGAAGCTTGGTGTGCTCTATAACTGAAAAGGGGATAGCAGTGGATACATTTTCATTTTTATGGCTTTTAGCCTGAAGGAAGGCTCCAGTTGGTGATCCATGGGGTTCAAGCTGCGATAAAAACTTGTGATCTTGTTCTCTTGTAGGAAAGAAGCCAAAGCTCAGGTGACCATGCAGCTTGAAAGTGAGAGCGGAAACCCTAGAACAACCCCAGATGCTGGGGTGACAGCCCCAAATGCTGTGTATAAGATTTTCTTGAATCTCTTGCAAACTCCTAAACTGTATATGTGTGTAGAGCAGCCCCCTAACAGCACATCTAAGGCTCAAAAACTGAGCAGACCTTTCAGTTACTGCCAATATTTAAGAGATAGAAGTTGAAGTCCAGGCTAGTTAATTATCTGCAAAAACAACATCACCTTTTTGGAGAACTATTACGGACCCTAGAGTCCACTGATTCATTAGTTTGTTGAGATATACTCTAAAATGATTAGACATAAAAAGGTGGGGGGGCATCATCACCCTGATCAATGGAGATTTACCGCACAATTACCCAAATATTAGACTTGGCAGAGAAGATTTAAAACAGGTCTTTTATCTTAGTACTGAGGATTGAATCCAGAGCCTTTGCACTGACCTATATGCCCAGGCCTTTTTGATCTAAATTATAAATTGAGCAGGCTGGGTTTGAACTTTCCTGCCTCAGCAGAATGCTGGGATTATGGGCATGTATTACATGCCCTTTTTTTAGGGGCTGGTGATGGGGTTTGAAACAAGGTCTTGATCTATAATTCAGGTTGGACTTGAACTCGCTAAAGTAGCCCCGACTAACCTCAAACTCTCAGTATTCTGCCTCAGCTTCCTGAGTGCTAGGATTACAGACATGTACCACCACACCTGGCCCTACATGCACCTTTTAAAACAGGTATTGTAGCCATGCCCAAGGATGTAAAGTGAGCGGGGTATAGTGGTGATGCCTATAATCACAGCAGTACAAGGCAGGATTGCAATTTCAGGGCCAGCTGGGCAACTTAGTGACTTAGTGAGAGCCTGTCTCAAGAAAACAAAAAGAGCTGGATGTAGTTCAGTGTGTGAAAGCTCTGAGTGATGAACAACAACAAAAAAAGGGGTAGAAAATGAGGTTGTAAGTAAATAGAAAATTCCATCAGAGCAATAAGACTTCAAAACAAGGGATGAAATGAAAATTTTAGGGGCTGGGGATTTAGCTCAGCGGCATAAGCGTCTGCCTTGCAAGCAGGCGGTCGTGAGTTTGATTCCTGGTACTAATTAAAAAAAAAAAAGGAAAAAAAGAAATGAAAATTTTAGACTTGAAAATACAATATCTGATTTTTTAAAATTGCACTGTATGATTTAACTAATTTGAAATGACAGATGAGTCTGTGAACTTGAAGGTAAACTAGAAGTTATCTAATCTGAAACAGAGAAAACATACAGAAGTTCATTTCAGAGTCTGTGTATGAGAACTGTTATTCCAGGTATCTTCCAAGTCCTACACTTACCCCTTTCCTTTACTTAAAGACTGACATCACAGCTTGTAAATTAATGCCCTCCAGAGGGGTACTCAGAAGTACTCTCCTCCCCTCCATCCTGTTTCTCCTACCCCCGAGAGACAGTGTGAGCCCCTGTTCAGCACAGCTGACTGCCTCCTCTGACCTGCAGCCGCCCCGGCGCCCTTTGTTCTCTGCCCACTCTTCACAGCCTCTGCTTCCTGCTGTCCCCATGTAGTGGATTACTTACCCTTGCTACTTTCCTGAACTCAGAGGTCACCGGGACTCTTGATCATCACACTTAAAGGTGGGTATAAGGGGACTCACCCACATTTCTTTTGAGGATTTGGCACTAGGGTTCTTGCCTTTTCTTTACCTCTCTTGTCTTCCCTCAGTGACAGTATGTTTTATAATTTCTCTTTTTTTGTGTCTTTTCCAAGGGTTCATGCTTAGTTTTTTTTTATTTTTTGGTCTTTTTGAGGCAGGGTTTCACTATATGATTCAGGCTGGCCTTGAACTTACTTTGTATCCAGGACGGCCTCGAACTCATGGCACTTCTCTTGCCTCAGCCTCCAAAGTGCTGGAATTACAGGTGTGCACCACCTTGCCCGGTCTTGCTTAGTTTTAATTTTTTCTCTAATTTCATTCAACTGTGTTGCTCCAGGTGTAGCTAGTAGACTTCAGCTTCATTTCAGAGGACTTCCTCTCTTCTCTAGGCTCAGTCTCTCTGGAGCTCAGTCTTGAATTTTTTCTCCACTGGTTACCAAACAGTTTTACTTGCATGTTCTAGCATAAACACTTGGAGCTCAGTGTATCCAAAACAAAACGTCTCTTAACAAACCAGTTTTTATGCTTCAGCTTTGGGATTTTGGGACCCTGCGTTTATATCAAGACCTAAAACATAGCAATTACTCTGCAGATATGGTCTGAAACAATGAATGAATTCTTAGAGTTACCCTAGGGTGGAATTCTGAGCCCATCGTCGACTTGTTCTATACATCTGACCGTGTTTGCTGCTGAGGCAGTCAGTTCCGTGTCTAGTGAATCACTTGTATTTCTTCCTTCATTCTCACGCCATTAGCTGGCAATTATAGTAGGCTCCTGTCATTCTCTTTCTCTGGATCTCTTTTACATGTTGCCACTAGAGTAAAGGCCTGATGATGGTAATAATAACTAGTATATCTTCAAGCCTCCAGTATTTATTGAACACTTACTATGGACTCCACTATTTCTAAGTTAATATGTGTGTGTGTACATCATTTAAGTTAATACAAAACTTTTGAGTTATTCTATTATTATCTACAGAAGTAAAACTGAGAAGTAAAACAGAGAGTTGAATGTGTTGTCAAGATCACAGAGCTAGTAAGTGGCAGAGCCAGAATCTTGAAACTGTTGCAGTCTAGAGTTTAAGCCTTGATTACTGTGCTGTGCTCTCTTCCACAGACCTTTTTTTTTTTTCTTCGTGGTACTGGGGATCGAACTCATAATCTAGTGCTTGCCAGGCAGGTGCTTATACTGCTGAGCTAAATCCCTGGCCCTCTTCCACAGATTAACTGATCATGCTGTTCTTTTTCTAACGTCTTACATAGCTCATTTCTGGTGGTTTTTTTGTTTTGTCTTTTTCAGCAATGGAAATTGAACCCAAGGCCTTTGCACTAAGCCACATGCCCCGCCTTTTTTATTTTTTGAGACAGGGTTTTGGGAAGTCACCGCGTTGCCCACGTTGGCCTCATTCTTGGAATCCTACCTCAGCCTTCCGGAGTACTGGGATTGTAGATATATGCCACCACACCAGACTCATAGCTCATTTCAAACACAACTAGAGTACCTTTTAGTCTTAAATTCAGTATCCTTTGTGAGCTAACCCCATCTCTGGATTTTTTTTCTTGTTCTAGACCTTCATTTTTTTCTATGCCAGACTGAATTCTTCTGTTAGGTAAATTGTATATACATCCCCTGGACTGGCAGTATAGCTAGATAGTACTGTGCCTGCCTAGCATGCATGAGTTCCTGAATTTAATCTCCAGCACAACCACCAAAACAAACAAAGAAACAAACCACCACCACTCCCAATAATTATCATTCGTTTTTATTGTTGTTTGGTTGTTTATGTAAGACCAACTCAAATACCTTATTTTGCTGGGCATGATGGTGCATACCTAGAATCGTAGCATTTGGGACACTGAGGCAAGAGAATCATTGTGAGTTTGAAGCCAGCCTGTGTTATATAGTGAATTCAAGGCCAGCTGTGTGACTCTAGTGAGACCCTGTCTCAAGAGGAAAAAAAAAAAGCAAAAAACCTCCTCCAAACCAAATGCTTTATTTTTCCTTTGGGTTGCCTTTATTTATTTCTTCCTCAGAGCATGGTCTCTGGCACTTTTAACTCATATCGTAATTATTACTTTATATTTTATCTCTCCACTAAACTGTAATCCTTTTGATTTTAGGAGCAGTGTCATTTTTTTTTTCCTGTCTGCAGGCTATGTACAGTGCATACTTTCTTTTCTTTTTTTTTTAAATTTTATTTAAAAGGAAAAAGAGAAAAAACAAAACAAAACAAAGTGGGGTAAGGGTACAAGTGATACAGAACTACAAAAAAAAAAAAAAAGAAAAATCACAGTAAGAAATCACCAGTTAATAGATTATACCTTATCATCTTAGAGATAGTTGCTCAAGTCACAGTATCAAAGCATACAAAGTGGACATTCAAACAGCAAGACCGCAAACAGTTGTGTTCCATGATCCAACCAAAAACATTAATATGGTCATCTATTTAACACCCCTAAACACACTTGCAGTTGTATCCTTTAGAGCACTTTTTTTTCCTCTCTTTTTTACAACACAATTTACACATTTTGGGTTTTATTACTCCTTAGTTCTTATTACTTTTTTTTTTTGGAAGAGAATAAAGTCAAATATGGCAAAACAAAGTTGTCAGTCAAAACCAAGGATAGACATAGCACATGATGTAAAACAGAGTACAAGGTTATCAACAATGGTTACCATAATGCTCTTGCTTCCTTAAAAAGAATTGTCTATCTCATTAGGTATTATAAAGTTGAACAAAACAGTAGAGAACAAGACCAATAAAACCTAAACCTTGTAAACATTACAGGACTTCCAAAGAAGATAATAGTCAAACCAGAATGGGCATCATAGTGAATCTTACTGCCTTCAAAGTAGTTGGCTATACCCTCAAACTTGATACTATCATACAGAACGGAACACAGTCTAATCGGTCAAAACAAGATAGTGGGAGTATTATAGGACATCAAATCAAGTTAATAGGAAATCAAAAAAGTTACTATAATATATCCTGCTAATTTTTTTATTTTTCCCCTTAATTTAAAAAATCATAAAAATTAACTAAATAATTTTTTTAATGAATAAGGGAGAGATTGAGATAAAAGAGGACATAACAACATAACAATACAGGTCAAAGCATGACAGTTTCAGCAACCTAGTGCTTCACCACCAAATAACCCGACTTAATAGTAGTTACCATAGTGTCTTTTTCCTTTAAATATTTGAATATAATTTTGTATACTATAGCTTCAAATATATCAAGTCAGTGTAAAACCATTCAAGTGAATGAAAGCATTGTAGAGTATTTAGAACCAGCTAATAGAAAACGAACAATGGTTTCTATATTATCTCTTTGCCTATAACAATTTTTGTTTATATTATCACATATAATAAAATCCAGCAAGATACATCCTGATGAAACCAATGGAGACAGAAGAGCTATAGTTTGGTGGGGCTTCAAAACAAGATGATAGTAAATCAGCACTAATTATTATGATGACTTATTTTCTTCAAAATAACTGTTCATTTCATCACAGGTAGTAATATCAAGCAGCCCAGAATAAAGCCATTCCAATTAATAAGTGAAAACTTTATAAGGCTTCAAGGCCATATAATGGGGAATCATGATTACCACATACTTTTATATATTTGAATCATTACTTACATTAGGGAAACTATTTGGTATTCACACATGCGAGATTGATTTATTTCACTTATGAGTATGGTCTCAAGCTGTGCCCATTTATTGATAAATATCTCAATGTGATCCTTCTTTATAGCTGAGTAATAGTCCATTGTATAGAAATACCACAACTTTTTTATCCATCCCTCAGTTGATGGACACTTGGGTTGTTTTCAAGATCTGGCGATTGGAAATTGTGCTGCTATAAACATAGGTGCACATATATCACTGTGGTATGATGCTTTTGGTTCTTCTGGGAATATGCCTAGAAGTGGCATAGCTGGAACAAATGGGACTTCCAATCCCAGCTTTTTGAGAAATTTCCAGACTGACCTCCACAAAGGCTGCACCAGTCTACACTCCCACCAACAGTGTAGGAGAGTTCCTTTTTCCCCACAGCCTCTCCAGCACTTGTTGTTGTTGGTTTTCTTGATCCTGGCCATTCTTTCAGGAGTGAGATGGAATCTCAGTGTGGTTTTAATTTGCATTTCTCTATGACAAATGATGATGAACATTTTTTCATGTATTTGCCATTTGTATTTCTTCATCTGAGAAGTGTGTATTCATCTCAGATGCCTATTTTTGGATTGGATCTTTGAATTTTGGGGGTCTGAGTTTTTTTAAATTCTTTATATGTTTTAGACAAGAGTCCCTTGTCTGAGAGAGAGTTCACTAAAATCTTTTCCCAGTTTGTGGGTTTTCTTTTCACTATGCTGGAGATTTCTTTTGACAACAGTGTATACTTTCAAATATTTTTTCTTTATTAAAGTTCTCTTCAAGAGTGTGGAATAAGTGAAGTGTTTAGCTACTAGACTCTTAACCACAGGATTTTTGTACATGTGGCTTTTTAGTGTGCTGTTTTTCATTTCCATATGGTTCAGTAGTTCGTGATACCAATGCACAATATATGTAGAAAAAAATGATGAAAAAACATTTTTGAAGCCATTTGTAAAGCTGGTTTGAGCCATTTCATTGACTTTAAGAAATGTTTTTCATATATTGAAATTTCCAGTGTAGAGTTCTTTTATTTTTAAAAGTCTTCCTGTGTTTTAAAAGCAAGGAAATGTAATAAATTCAAGTAGTGAATTTTGGTTAACCTTTGGAGCGGTATCCACAATTTGGATTTGTGTTTATAGTCAAGTTTCTATAGCCTCTGTCATTTTATTTCATTGATGCTTGAAATCTTTTAAAAGTGAGATGGTAAAAGTTAAGAGTTTTTTTTTATTTTTAGCCAAGCATAGTGGTGCACCCCTATAATCCTAGCACTCAGTAGGCTGAGGCAGGAGGATCGTTGAGTTCAAGACCACAGTCTGGGCTACAAAGTGAGTTCAAGGCCAGCCTGAACTACATAATGAGACCCTGTCTCAAAGAGACAAGAGAAAAAGTGTCTTTTAAATTTTTATTATGATAGAAATGGGACATGTACATAAGTTTTAATATGTAGGATTTAGAAGTAGTGCATGAATTTATAGTTAAAAGAATCAAGTTGCTGGCTTCTTCAAGTACAGTATTATTTATATAAAAATGTGCAGCTTACCAAACAGTATTTACCTTGTACTTAAACAGTAAAAATGTGACAGGGTATGAATGAGTCACAAATGCCAAATCCAGTTAGTGATAATCTTTGGAGGCAAGTAGATGGGGGTAGAATGAGGGAGAGATGCCAAAGTGTATCTACCACGTGCGTAACACCTGTTTCTATGTTGAGTAATGGATAGATGGGTATTTCTCATTGTTCTCTCTACCTATTTGCTTATCTGAAAGAAATTTATAAGGTCAAATAGTATAGATTCCTACTTGCTCTTGATCCCCTGCTCCTTAGTTGCCTCCCCCAAAACAGCATTTTCTTGATTTCTTTGAACACTTCCAGAGATATATACATAAGCAGTAATATCTATCTTTAAAAATAAAATAAACATGTCATTCCTTTTGTATAGTAAATGGTATTATTTATATGGTTTTAGACTGTGCCTTTTTTGCGGGGGGGTGGGGGGAGTGGGTAGTGGGGATCGAACTCACGACTGTGTGCTTTCAAGGCAGGCACTTATGCCGCTAAGCTAAATCCCCAGTCCCCTGACTGTACCTTTTTTACTTAATATGTGTTAGAAATTACTCCATAGTATACATTAAATATGTAATTTTAATAAAAATAATTTTGGGTTTTTTTGGGGGGATGGCACTGAGAACTAAACTGAGGACTTCACATATCCCAGGTGAGCACTGTACCACTCAGCTGTTTCCCCAGCTCTCGAGTCTCCTTTTCACCATTAATATTTACTATTATCTTTTCCAGTTATAATCTAAATTTTGTTAATAAGCATATGCACTGGTTTTGCTGTATCACTTTGCTTAGCCAACAGGAAACTGACGTTTCTCTCTGATTCCTTTTAGTAAATATTCTGGAGTCTTCGCTGAATTGTCTTTCTTTGTAACCTTTCTGCTGCCCTGGCTCCTTCACCTTGTGGGTCATGTTCCCCCTGAGAGGTGGGAGGAAAGAAATTTCGGCTTCAGAGCTTGGGTTTAAATCCTGTTCTATATACCAACCTAATAACCTTGGGTAAATTGCCTAACACTCTGTTGAGTAAGCGCTTTCATTTGTATTCTTTCTTGTAGCGTCGTATTAAAAATTAAAATGAAGCTGGACTGAGTGGCTCACAGTGGCTTGTAATTCCAGCTCTTCTGGAGTGTGAGGCAAGAGAATTGCACGTTCAAGGCCAACCTGGGCAACTTAACTAGAACCTGTCTCAAAATAAAACAAAAACTGAGGATGTAGCTCAGTTGGCACGGGCCTTGCTTAGCCCCTGAGTTCAATCCCAAGTAGATACTACAAAGAAGAAAAAAGAATGAAAGTGACTAATGAAGTAAAATGTTAAGTATTTTTATTGTATTACCAGTAACCACCTCTCCACCACTGATCTCTTCAGCCCTTGGTCTGTGTGGCTAGTGAGAAAACGTCATCTCTTTCGGATACACGCTTTCCAAGGATGTTTTTGCAGCCCTGAGTAATACACTTTATACCACAGCTGCCTTCTTTGTAAAGCAGTGGGGCTCTGAACACAGCTGAGGAGGAGCAGGTGGTGAAAGTACAGCTTCCCATCTGGCATTACGCTAGACTCGAATGTTCTTTCTGTTCAGATTAGGCCTCTCGACTAGAACGCTTCTGCATATTGTTCCTCTTACAGGGTCTTCCCATCCCACCTTTCTCTTACCTTAGGGAAGCTAAATACGTGGAAGTGTCTGAGTCCAGGTGACTTGAGTAAGGTGTTCGGTTGTTTCTCATGGGGCTTCTGGGCACCGTTTAAGTCAGGGGATGTTGCCGAGCATTTATTTTAAGGGCTCCTCTGACCTTTCTGTGACTGATAAGTCTCCACAAACATTTTATGGTGTTTGGAAGGCCAGTTGTTCTCTGAGCACCAGAGGACCTTGAAGGGCACTAAAAGCTCTAGCCCAGACAGGACACCTTGTTACGTTAGTCACATTCAAAGCTAACATTTGACTACCAGTTTCCATTACAACATAATTTTTACATTAATTATTTTGTGTAACTCCAAGGCAGAGATCTTTAACTCATTTGGATTTTTCCAAGAGGAAACAGCATCAGAAGCAAAAGGACAGAGCTTTCTTTTGCTCATGTCATACCAAACTACTTTCTTACCACTTGGGAAAGGGCCATATTTTACTGTTCAGCAGAGATATCACTTGTCATACTGGAGAGATTAAATGTGAGTTAGGTTTCAGGTGAAGTTAATAATATTGAAGATTGATGAATAATTTCATTTAAATTTGGGTCTCTTGCCAGGCGTGGTGGTGCACGCCTATAATCCCAGCACTCAGGAGGCTGAGGCAGGAGGATCACTCTTGAGTTCGAGGCCAGCCTGGGCTACAAAGTGAGTTCAACACCAGCCTGAACTGCATAGTAAGACCTTGTCTCAAAAAAAATAAAAAAATAAAAAAGGTGTCTCCTTGTTACTCTGTAGATTCATGTGAGCTGTAAATAATTTTCTAATATATATGTATATATACACACACACATGTATACATATATTTATATTGTTTTTTTTCTTAGGGCCACAATGGATACTGCTGGTCACAGCCTTGTCCTTTTACAGCAGCTAAACATGCAGCGAGAATTCGGTTTTCTGTGTGATTGTACAGTTGCTATTGGAGATGTTTACTTCAAAGCCCATAGAGCAGTACTTGCTGCTTTTTCTAACTATTTCAAGATGATATTTATTCACCAAACAAGGTAAGAGTGTATTTTTGTAAATCAAAAGAAGTTTTAATACTTCATGTATGTGTATGTGTGATAGTTCGTGGTGTCTTTATTATGGAATTACCCTAAGAATAAAAACAATTATAATAAGTTTTGTATATCAATAATTAAACCTAATATATAGGATCTATAGCAGAAGATAAAAATAATTGAGTAAAATTCATTGGAGATTTATTCTATCTCTAGGCGCTAAAGCCTATAATGTAAATTCCTGTGTTGCTCCTATATTAATAGAAACTGAGGGTGAATGGTTAAGTAACTTGCCCATACTGGTTTTATAGACAGATGAAGTTGAGATCTGTCTAAAATCAAATGTCTGTGCTCTTAATCACAAAGTTTTTTTTTTTTCTATAGTACTTTCATAGCAAGTTTTCAATGTCAGTTGTACCCACCACATATTCCATATTACAATTGAAAGGTCGTTTGTTTTAAATACCTTTTCAAAGAGTTCTTTGCATTTTTAAATTTAGGTAACAGCGGGCAGGGGGGATATAGCTTAGGGGCACGGAGCTTACCTGGCAAGCTCCTGAGTTCGATTAGTTGTACCAAAAAAAAAAAATTTTTTTTTAGGTGACAGATGAATTTAGTGATTCATGTTGTAAGATGTGGATAAAGAATAATTTTAGTCCATTCTAGGTTAAAAGTGACAGAACACTTTTTTAAGGTACCTTACATGAAGTACAAATTCAACTGCACTTTTGTTTGTTTTGTTTTGTGTTTTTTGAAACAGGGTCTCGCTCTGCAGTTCAGGCTGGCCTTGTGCTCACTTTGTACCCCACGCTGGTCTTGAACTTGCAACGATCCTCTTGCCTCAGCCTCCCCAGTGCTGGGATTATAAGCGTGCCAACTGCAGTTATATATTTTTATTTCATTTTCAAATATTTATTAAGTACCTATGTGCCATTCCCTGAGCTAGACCCCAGTAACAGACAAGTTATATACTCTGCCCTCAAGAAGTTAATAATCCAATAAAGATAGTGAATGTGAAGCAAATAATCAATGTATTTGACCTCTTGCTTTAGTTTCTTTGCCTATAAAATGCTAGAATAGTGTACTCACTCCTTGAGTATTAAGAAGATTGAATGGATTACTGTTAAAATATTTAGAACAGAGCTTTGCTGTTGTTAATAATATAATAGTTTGTCATCAAAGTGTGCACAAGGTAGAACAGGATTTCAGTAGTGCTATTTGGGAAGGTGGGAACAGGATAAGAAGAAGGCTGGGGTCTTGAAGATTCAGAAGGAATTTTTTAGATGTTGTAGAGGAATGTAAGAAGGTGCATTGGAGGCAGAGAAAGAATGGCATGAAAACATCATACAGATGTGAGTCAAGCTATGACCAAGCATTGAACATGAGACCACAGAGCAGATCACAGTAATTGGAGCATATTGCACGATGGGGTGAGGAAGTTGAAGCGTGGGACAGGTTCTCAGTCAGCTCAATAGATTTCTTCTCAGAGTGTCTCTGTAAGATTGGAAATGCCACCTCCTCAGTTTCCTCTGAGAGCTGTGAGTTGGTTCTGCTCCTAATGCACTTAACCAGGAGCAGTGCTAAACCTAGGAGGTGGCAGCCAACCTGTAATGTCTCTGTGTGAGCAGTTTAAAACTCTGAGTCAGTGGACTCTGAACCAGTATTTAACAGAGCTTGCCACAGATTCTGTCAAGAGTATAGATAGGCAGAGCAAAGAGTGCAGGAGAAAATGTGGGGAGTCAAGCAAAGCTAAAGGAAAGAAGGCATAGACAGTGTCCAACACTCAGTGCTTTCTGACACATTGTGAACTGTGCTTCCAGGAAGTTAAGTCCATGATTAACAGCATTGTTCTTTGATAATCAGTATTTCCCTTAGGTTGTCTATATCCTAATATTGCAGAGAAGTTTCTTGATATCTTCGTACACTGTTATTTTTGTTACCTGAATTCCAGAATCATATGCAAAAATTGAGTTTGAGTTGGTCTTTTAATTAATTAATTAATTATTACTATTAGTTGGTTTTTTGAAACAAGATCTTGCTATGTAGTTGAGGCTGACCTTGAACTCACCATGCCCAGGCTGGCTTCACACTCACGACTGTCCTCCTGCCTCAGCCTCCTAAGTGCTAGGATTACAGGCATGGACTACCATTCCTGATGAGGCTGTCTCAAAACCTTTCACAATTCTACCTGCATTCATTTGTGATTTGAAGAATAGATATGTATGGTCTGGGGATGTAGCTTAGTGGTAGAATGCTATGTGTTCTATCTAGGTTTGATCTTCAGCACTATAAAAGAAAAAAAGATACTTTGGAAACTGAAGTAAAGTCTTAATTTAAATATTTCTTTCTTTCTTTCTTTTTCTTTTGTCTTTTTCCTTTTTATCGGTATTGGAGATTGAACTCACGACTGCCTGCTTGCAAGGCAGGCACTTATGCCGCTGAGCTAAATCCCCAGCCCCTAATTTAAATATTTCTAATCTTATTAGACTGTTTTTTAAATTTTAAAAATATTTTTATTTTGGAATATATATATATATATATATGTATATGTATATGTATATACATGCATACACACGCTTTTTTTTTTTTTTGCAGTTTTAACTAGATGTGATGACACATGCCTGTAATCCCAGTATTCTGTGAAGCTGAGGCAGGAGGATCATAAGTTTGGGCCCAGCCTGAGCAAATTAGTGAGCCCAGTTTCAAAATAAAGGGGGTGAGGGTATAAGCGTAGTATAAAGGCCTTGGGTTCAACTTTTAGTACTACAAAGAAAGTTTGCAGTTTTAACTATGTAATTCAATGACAGTAGTTACATTTATAGTATAATGTTGTACAGCCATCACTATTTCCAAAACTTTTTCATCACCCTAACAGAAGCTGTACCCATTAAGCAATTATATCCCACTCCTCCTTAATTTCTCCTACCTTGAATCTTAATTTCTGTCTCTGAATTTGCCTCTAGTAGATATGTCTTATAAATAGTACATATAATATTTGTCCTTTTGGGTATTTTTACTAGCATGTTTGCTGGGTTTATCCTTGTTATAACATGAATTTTTTTTTCTTTTTTTTGGTACTGGGGATTGAACTTAAAACCTTGCGCTTGCCAGGCAGGCACTTATGCCACTGAGCTAAATCCCCAGCCGTAACATGAATTTATTTTATTTATTTATTTATTTTGGTACTGAGGATTGAACTCACAACCTCATGCTTGCCTGATTCTTGTTATACCATGTATGAGAGCTTTACTCTTTTTTTAATAGCTGAGTAATATTTTGTTGTATATATAAGTCATTCATCTTTGGTGGACACTTAGATTGTACTTCTGGCTACTGTGAATAATGCTGGAGTGGACATTGGTGTAAGAGACTTGTGTGTTCAGGTTTTTCTCAGTAGACTTAAGGGCATGCTATCTGTTTTTTGCTATTATTTTTCTACCCCCTGGCACCTGCATGCATATTGTTTGGGAATCAATGTTGAACTAATCAGAATATCTGTGTGCACTAACATTAGGTAGTAGATTGAAAATGTTAAGGCTTGTGACTGGTATGAGAGAAAAGTGGAAGCTTTTGTTACATGTTTTGTCAAGACAAATTGCTAAATTTAAACCACTTCTGGAGAAATTGCTTTTAGGCTTGGGCTCCAATGATATCTACAAGGGCAACCAAATTGTGTCTCATTTTGTGTGGGTCTGTTTTTGTTTTTAACAGTGAGTGCATAAAAATACAGCCAACTGACATCCAGCCTGACATATTCAGCTATTTGCTGCATATCATGTACACGGGGAAAGGGCCAAAGCAGAGTGTGGATCACAGTCGTTTGGAGGAAGGGATTCGATTTCTTCACGCTGACTACCTTTCTCACATTGCAACTGAAGTGAACCAAGTGTTTTCACCAGAGACTGTGCAGTCCTCAAATTTGTATGGCATTCAGATCTCAACAACACAAAAAACAGCTGTCAAACAAAGTCTGGAGGTCAAAGGAACGCCTTCCACTAGCAGTGGAAACAGAGCAGCCATCCAGGGTGACCACCCCCAGTTGCAGCTTTCTCTTGCTATTGGGCTTGATGATGGCACTGCGGACCAGCAGAGGGCGCATCCCGCTGCCCAGGCCTTGGAGGAGCACCAGGAGCCGACAGTGTCCATCAAGCAGGAAAGGTGTGACTCAGAACCTGTGACGTCCCAGAGCAACCCCTTGCCCTCATCAGAGGCAACAGACCCCTCTTTTATAGAAAACGGTATCAAAAGACACTTGTGTCATTACTGTGGAGAACGTTTTGATTGCCATAGTAACTTAAGACAACATCTCCATACCCATGTGTCTGGATCCCTCCCATTTGGTGTCCCTGCTTCCATCCTGGAAAGCAATGACCTTGGCGAAGTCCATCCACTCCATGAAAACAGTGAGGCTCTCGAATGCCACAAGCTTAACTCCTTCCTTGTCAAGGAGGATGAACAGCAGCCTGACCGCTCGAACTGGAGAACCACAGAGGCTTTGCAAGTCAGCCAGGTGTCTCTGATCTCCAAAGACACAGAACCTGTGGAATTAAACTGTAACTTTTCCTTTTCAAGGAAAAGAAAAATCATTTGTACCATTTGTGGTCATAAATTTCTTCGTAAGAGCCAGTTGCTGGAACACATGTATACACACAAAGGTAAATCTTACAGATACAGCCGCTGTCAAAGGTTTGGTAATGCCCTGGCCCAGAGATTTCAGCCGTATTGTGACAGCTGGGCTGACATTCCAGTGAAAACTTCTCGCTTGTCACAAGAACGCTTAGATTTGCCTTGTGCCTTAGAGTCAGAGCTCACACAAGAAAATGTAGACACTATCCTAGTTGAATAGCAGCAGCAGCTTCAGAGTTTTTATACTAATTCTAAAAAAAAAAGACGTTTTTTATTTATAAATTATTTTCCTCAAGTGTTACTGACTTTTTTCTTACCAGTTCTCCACAGTTTTAAGGTTGTGTATATTAGGTCTTCTTCCTGTGAGATGTGTTAGTTAATAAATGGCTATTAAAACCTTCAGTTAGCCCTGTGAACTTTTCATAAATTTAGTCACAGGTTTGGTAATGCCCTGGCCCAGAGATTTCAGAGTAGAAATTTGGAAATTTTGGAGTAGATACATACTTATAGAATCCCTTAAGTTTTTCCAGGTTGCAGAATCAGTAAAATAAAATTGGATATGGAGTAAATGAATATTCTAGAGGCAGGTAATGTAGTTCAGAAGCAGAGTGCTTGCCTAGCATGCATGAGGCCCTAGTTCAGACCCAGCACTAACAAAAAAAATAGTCTAAACTACCACTTTTGGCTTGTGTTTCATATGAATTCAGTCCTTACGAAGATTGTTTAAAAGTATTTCTGCCATATAGGAAGTTAGTAGTTATTTTAATGTGTAACTATATTACCAGGTATAAACAGTTTGGATCTGTGCATGTGTGTGTGTGTTACTGGAGATTGAACCTTGGGGCAGTTTACCACTAAGCTACCTTCCCCAGCTCTTTTAACTTTTTCATTTTAAAGCAGGTGGGACTTGAACTTCTTCTTCCTGCCTCAGCCTCCTATAGTGCTAGGATTACTAAAAAATTAGCTTTTAAGACATGGCTATACCAAATCATTAGTAATTTTAACTTTCTACTTAATGGTGTTCATTTACTTAACATTAAGTATACTTCATTTTTAAGAAAAATATTCCAGTTAAAAGAGTCTAGAAGAACAAAGAGAAAAAAAAAAGTTGTAGAGAAACAATAAGATACATACACCTAGAAAAGCATATAAAGCCACAGATTCAGTGATATCTATGTTAACCAAGACCCCAGGGTTTTTACCTAAATCCAAAGTGTTTCCTTAGAGACCTTAAGAGCAGTTTGAGATTTTTATGACCAAAGGTTAAGGTGAGTTTAAGGAGGAAAATATTAATATACAAATCTTTTTTTTTTTTTTTAATTTTTTTTTTTGGTCTTTTTCGTTTTTATCGGTACCAGGGATCGAACTCACGACTGCCTGCTTTCAAGGCAGGCACTTATGCCGCTGAGCTAAACCCCCAGCCCCTACAAATCATTTTTTATGCCCTCATTATGAGATTTCCTAGTTGATGAGATTTCCTATGTTGATGTTAATTTTCTAAAACTTATTTGAAAATAATTTTTTAGTGGCATACTTTTCATTTCTTCTAGTTCATAAAACCAGTGGAGGAAATCCACCTAGTGTTCTGGGATTATGCTTAGCATCCACTGTGAATGAACTTCATTCCTGTTTATAATGGGGACAAATACAAAGCTAAAACCCAAGAAAAAGTTGATAAGTGAGATTCTCCTCTTCTTTCTACCTGAGAAATAGCTGTTCAAACTTCATCAGAAAGAATAGATCTGAACTGCTTTTGAAATATTCAAATTTGGGATACCAGTAGTCAAGGATAATTAAAAAGAAAAAAAAAGAAAAGAAAAGAGAGGCTCCAAAATGGCTTCATCCACACACCTGTAATCTCAGCCCTCAGGACAGCTGAGGCAGGATGACTGTGATAAGTTTGAGGCCAGCCTGGACTGCATGTCGAGGCCCTGTCTCAAAAAACCAAAACGACATCATCTTTTTTATTTTTTTAGGCTTCTTATTAAATTCCAACCCTTACAGGCATTTGAAGAACATTTAAGAGTTTCTGCTTTGTTTTCCTACTTAAGACAGGTCAGTATTTCTCAGGCTGGCCTGGAACTTCCAGCCTCAAGAAGTCCTTTCACCCCCGCCTTAAGAAGCCGGGGTACTGGGGCACCGTCATGCCTGGCCCTGCATCAGCTGCAGATGAGGACATCTAATCATTTGACTTGTAGGTCTTAGAATTTAAGATCAATAATATTTGAGCTTCCTTTTGGCTGAGTATTTCTGAGGACATTTCATGACATACAACCACCTCCTTGTTCATCAGGAAGGAAATCAAATAATCAGCTAACTCTAAAATACAAAAGCAGTGAGGTGGAATTAGTGTGTTAAGTTTTCTAGAGGGCCAGAAAGCTTCTTGATATTGTCTAAAGCAGCTCAGTTTCTGCTTTAGCAAGGAGTGAAGCCTGGGATCAAAACTGAGAGCCAGTATATCTACTGATAAAAACAGTTATCCTGGGAGTGACCCAAACCAGTCATCACCATTTGGGATCAGAATTTTATCTAACTTAAATTTTTTTTTTCACTAATTCACTTAAGTGGACCTGGGGATATAGACAGAGTGTCTTTATGCCAAGTAAAACTAATCTACTTAAGCAATTCACAAACTCATACTGCCTTCAAAGCTTTCAAATCATAAGAACGTGAATATTAATTCTGATTTTATGACTATTTGTGGTGTATTCCTTAGAGTTTTTAAAGATGTGTTGTTCTCACTGAGGTAATTTTTCCAGTATGTCTGTGTATGTGAAGGTACTGGGGATTGAATCCAGGGCCTTTGCACTGAGCTACATCCTCAGTCCATTTTTTAATTTCAAAACAGGCTCTTGCAAAGTTGTCCAAGCCAGGCTTAACCTTGTGATCCTCCTGCCTCAGCCTTCCTGAGTGCTGGGATTACAGGTATGTCAGGCAGTTTTTCTAGGTTTTTGAATCCATCTTCTTCCTTCCTTGCCTGGTTCTTTGTCTTTGACCTGGGACTTGTGTGGCTGTAGGACAGAAGCAGAGGTGTTAGAGCTAATAGGCTAAAGCAGCAGTTCAAGCAGTCTGGAGAAATCAGGAGAAATTGCTTATAGCTGATTGACTGTGCTAGCCAACACCTGTTTAAAGTCAAAATAGACCTCTATCAGTAACTGACAGTAATTAACTGGATAACTGGATTTTTTTCTCTTTTTGTTTTTGTTGTTGTTGTTTGTTTGTTTTTGAGACAAGGTCTCAATATATAGTCCAGACTAATCTGGAACTTACTGTGTAGCTCATGCTGGCCTAGAAGTCATGGTGATCCTCCTACCTCCCAAGAACTGGGATCAGATCATAACCTTCTTAGTTCTGGGATTAAAGCAGTGTCTGCTTGGTTTTGGATCTAGTTTCTTTTAATAAGAACTCAAATCAGCTGTGTGTGATGGCGCACACCTGTAATTATAGCTCTTACGGGACGCAGAGACAGGAGGTTTGCAAATTTGAGGCCAGGAGCTGGATGTGTGAGGCCACCTGCATTCCATGCACTACCAAAAAACCCCAAGCAAACAAACAAAAAAAGAAAATGCTCTTTTTTGGTTCTCATAATATGTTTTAGGAAGTAGAACAACATCAGCTTCATTTTATAGAAAAAAATATTCCAAAAACTGAGTTCCAGAGAGCCAAAGAGGTCGTGTTTTTTTTCTTCATTCATTTTGCAAGTATTTTAAAAAGAGATTGTCATAAGCCTAATATTGTGCCCTAAATTTTACTGTATTTTTTTTAAAGACAAGATTCCTCACTAAAAGAAAAAAAAAATCTACTTTGAATTTAAGAACTTCTTCCAGGTAAGACCTTTAGTTTTGACTGTATCTTCTGCAAAATGCAGTTATCTCTACTCACAGTATCCTAATAACACTATATAACCTGGTTTGTATAGCGATTACCCAGCTTAAAACTGAAGATGACACATGCACTTTGATCAGTGTAGCAGGCCGACACTTTCCCCTTGGATGAGCATTAAAGTATCCCTTCTTTCCAGATGGTTTTTTTTTTTTTTGAGAAAAATAGTGTTTGAGTATTTGTCCTTATTACATATTGCAGAACATATAGCCTACCTTATAACAAAACCATAATTTCTTGATTAGACTATTTCTTCTTGCTCCGACTTTTGTGATTTTCCCATCTTTAAAGTGGGAATAAAGCATTGCCTATGTCACAGGGGTGTTGTAGGATTTATATAGTAACATTGTGTTAACTTCTGTTGGTATCATTGATAAAAACCACAATATAAAAAAAAACCTGTTCCATAGCTAAGCCTATTAACTTCAGAATTCCAATCTGTAAATTCTAGAATATGTTAAAAGCAGACTTGTACTACTTAATCAACAAAACTATTTTTTGCAAATGCTCTATAAATATTGCTTGAATTCTTGTTCATTTATAGTATAATTATCACTTTTATTCTTCAGCCTTCAAGCAAGAAGGCTAATGAAATAAAACTTTGCCAATTTCAGCTTCATTGAAAGTTCCCTTAAATATTTTTTTTTCACATGAAAAAATAACGGACAATAAGGAGGTAGCATTTTCATTTCTTTGATGAAGATCTGAATAGTAGATAGGGATAGGAAGTTGAATAAGGATATTATATGGTAATATATGGTAATTCATTAATATCTTTTAAAATAGTATTGGAAAAGCTTTCACTGAAAACTGAAAGTACATATTAATTACGGGAAAAGATAATCTAAAAAATGTGTAATTCCATTAAAATTTATTAGTACTGTATAGGCAAATCTTGATGTTGTAACTCAGGTCCTTGATAAGTATCAATTTTTTGTAGTAATTGAGGTTAACAGTAGGCCAGTATGAAGAGTTTTCATAAGGTAACTTGTATCTTTGTGTGTTTTAAACTAAGCGTAGGTCTGTGGCATTTTAATATAATTTTTAAAATCTCTTAATGAAATCTGTAAATGATTATTCTCTGTTGTATTTGTGTGTGTGTGTGTGTGTGTTTTAAGACAGCATCTTGCTTTGTAGTTCAAGCTGGCCTTGAACTCACTATGTAACACAGGCTGGCCTCCAACTTGCAGTGATTCTCCTGCCCCAGCCTCCCAAGTGCTGGGATTACAGTTGTGTGCCAGTGTGCCCAGCCTTTTTTTTGTTTGTTTGTTTTAACTGGTAAGGTTCCACAGTCCCGAGCTGGGATCTTCATCTCTGAGATCTGGAGGACTGTGTTGTGTGTTAGTAGGTGTCTGTGCCACCCTCGATTGCTTAGTAAATATCACTGCAGTGCGGTTGAGTTTTAATTGTCATCAGCTCCTCACTTGTGTGCCAAATAATTTAGTCAGAATAGGTCAAAGTATAAACTTGAAATACTTTAAAAGAAACATATTATAAAAGGTATAATAAAAAATATTCACTGAAGAAATCACATTATAAGTAACACATAGTACATACAAGATACTGAAATGAATAATGCATTGTATAAACCCTAATGTACTGTGAATTTTCTTAAAAATCCTTTTAGGAAATTTGTACCTTCTAGTTGGAATACAGTGGATTTCATGTATTTTATTAAGATGAATAAATTAATGTGACTTAATCACAAAACGTTTTATTAGCTTATAGATTATGTTCTTTTACAGCAGTAAATTATATTATGTTATTTTACAGCAGTGTCTGACAGTTGTCTTTGTAGTGTTGAGGTAAGTAGTCGCTAAGCTGGGTAACATTTTGGAGGCATGATACAAAAGGGGATTTAGCTCAGTGCATAAGCGCCTGCCTTGCAAGTACACAGTCATGAGTTTGATCCCTGGTACCACAAAAAAAATAATAATAATCACCAGATCCCATTTTACCAACCACAGTCTATGGTAATAGAAAATTATCCTAATGGAGTGCTTTCCAGCTACCATCTCTGGAAAGACCAATGCTGTAGCCATTTCCTTGAAGTTTCTTGCTTGGCTCCTATTTCTCTTCCCTGTTTACACTCTGCTACATTTCCTCCTGTACCCTCCCCGCAGGGTAATCCAAAACTCTGATTCTCAGGCAGGGTGTATTAGTGAGGGTTTTCTAGAGCCAAAGAACCAAGAGGCCATAGATACACAGACAGGTGATGTTGTAACACATTGGCTCAATGCCACTATGGCAGCTTAGAAGTTTCAGGATTTGTACCTGGTAAGCTGAGAGCCTGAAGAACCAATGATTTAATTCCCATGTGAATCCAAAGGCCTGAGAACCAGGAGAGCTACTGGCATAAGTTCTAGTCTCAAAGCTGGCAGGCTTGAGACCCAAGGAGAGCCAGTGTAAAATTTCAGTCTTTGTCCAAAGTCAGGAGAATCAGCCTCCTAGACCAAGCAGTCAGGCCAGAAAAGGTCACCTTTGTGTTCTATCCAGATTTTGAATTGCTTGAGCGCCATCAGCTTTAGTCAGTGTATGAGTTCCAATGGTAATCTTATCCAGAAGCACTCTCAGATACATTCAGTGTCTGATGAAACAACTGCCCTGTCCCCCCCGTCAGCTGTCACTCAGGGCTGTCCCCTGTTGCTGGAGACTTTGAGCATGCAGGGAGGTTTTGGTGGACACAGATGGGTGGAGACCAGGAGCAGGTTGCTACGGCATCTAGTGGGCAGAGTCCAAGAGTGCTGTGAACCAGCCATAGGAACCATGTAGAGAACCACTCCAGGATGAATTCCCCCGCTGTGTGCCAGGAGTGCTGGTCTGAAAGCTTTGGGTTTGGGGTGGTTGTCAGGAATTAACACAAATAATTTGGGGTTTGTATCCCAGTTAACTTTTGGAATTTATAGTGTTCTAAAGGTGTACGTGTGTGTTCTGAAGAAAATTGTATTATCTTTTATCTCAGCTTTTAAACAGTTTTAAATGTGATTATTTAAAATCTGAAATGTATTATTTGGAAAGACAGTTATAAACCATTACATAATGTTTGAACTAAATAAATGTAATTCTAAAGTCTCTGTGAAATTAAGATGTGAATGTAGGTTATAATGTGTAAATTTTTAATCTGGCCAAAAGGTGGCACCAGTACACCTTTTGAAAAGGTACATGATACTCAAATGTCACATAACTCTTCACTGTTTTGTCATTAGCTACTTTTGGCTTTTGCTGTAGTTTGGCAGAAATTTCCCTAAAATTTTATATTAAGTACAGTAATACCCTGATACTGCTCTTTGATCAAGGTGCCTCTAATTTACATTTAAATATATTGTATCAGTAAATAATTGTGATTGTGATATCGAGCATTTTTGCAATTTGGAAATTTAACAGGAAGGTCATGGAATTTGAGCTCAATTACATCGGCTTTTCTGCTCGGGCATCAAACCCCGATGCTGTCTGCCTAGTCGAGATCGCTGGAGACATTGGAGAAAAAGCCCTTGGCTTTCTTCATCTTGCTTTCTCACATCCACAGCCTGCAAGGCAGATCATTTCCCTTCTCTAACAAGAATAATGCAACAGCTGACTCTTCACACTTTTTTTTCATAAAGTTCCATTTTAAGTAAGGTGAGACCTTTCTTCTTAGTAGAGTTCTTTTAATTCTTCTTGCCTCCAATATTGTATAAACTGCCTTTAAAATTCCCCTCTTCCTCAGCCAGGTGTGGTGGTGCATGCCCATTATCTAGCACTTGGGAGGCTTGAGAGACTGAGGCAGGAGGATCTCTTTGAGTTTGAGGCCAGTCTGGGCTACCTGGTGAGCTCAAGACCAGCCTCAACTATACAGCCTACCCTGTCTCTAACAAACAAAAACTCAGCCGTATGGGATTTAAAGAAACTTGGGGCTAGGAAGAACTGACATTCACAGGGATGAAAACCCTAGAGAATCTGATGGTTCTTTAGAAAGTAAGACACAGCTGTTGGTTCTTAAACAGCAAATACAGCTTTTGTAAAGGTAAGAAGAAAGGGTTTTAAAGGCTCCAGGGGAGTGAAAGTGTGCCTCATTGGGCCAGTTTTCATTCCTAAAACTTCTTCTTTTCACATATGTGCATGGCCTGGTGCTGCAAGCTCAGTGGTTCCTGTTCCCTTTTCCACCGCATATTTTAGTGTGGGAGGAAAGGCATAGAAAGAGAAGACTGCTGTTACTTAAAACATCTCTTTGCAGAGCTCTCAAACCTGGACAGCTACTTTCAGACTGTGCAGTAGGATGTGAGGCAGTGCTGAGACAAATGCCCTGGAGCTGAGCTGGGTGGTTGGCTCAGCTCAGCCCTGCCTCTCCTCCTCCTGCCATCAGCACTGAGGTGAAGCCTTCACTTAGAATGTCTGCACTAAATGACAAGTTTTACTGATTTAGGGGATTATATTAAGCTAAAATACAGAGATACTATAGAAATCAGAATGAGATTTAGAATCCTTCAGGGAAAACAAATCAACTAGACTTTGAGAGAATCGAGGGAAACCCACAAAATTAAAGAGATGACTCTAAGAAAATTCACTTTGCAATCAGGAAATCATGGAAAAGGCATATGTGCATAAAAGACCACAGCTAGGTGTGATGGCTAAAGCCTGTAATTCCAGCACTTAGGAGATTGAGGCAGGAGGATTGTGAATTTGAGACCAGCCTGGGCTTCAAAGTAAGTTCAAGGCCAGCCTGAACAGCATAGTGAGACCGTGTCTCAAAAAATCCAGAAAAGAAGGTTAACTTTCTTTTCTACCTGATTGAGTAAAATCCAGTTGTTTTGTCCTTCTATATACATCAGCCTTCTACCATACCATTGCAGTTCTATTAGTAATTCAGGAGGGTTGGGATGACCTGTATAAATAAATGTGATTCACAGACCAAAACTATTCCACATGGAACCTCTGTCCTGAGGTTTATACATGAAGCTGTTTGATTAATGGTTGTAGCTACATTAGTTATAAAGATGGTTGATTTCCACTGTAGTCATACTGACCACACTTTCCTGGGACCTGAAGGTACAGATGTCAAAGTAAGGATTTGGGGGAAAATGTGAGCATAACACATGCTTAGGGTGTGAGAGGCCCTGGAGTCAGCCTTTTGCATGTGTGCACACGTGTATGTACACACACAATAAAAAGATTGGGTACAGGTGGACAAATGCATCTGCTTTGGTGTCACTCTGTCTCTCTGAGGAGAGCAGAGCGGAAGTAAGGGCTGAGGTGTTATTGCTACAAGTTTAGGAGATTATATTAAGCTAAAATAGATAATAGTTTAACTGAAAAGTGTATGAAACCTTTGCATAGATGCACTGTTGTGAAGATAAGGCTAAAAGTCCTGTTTGAGTTAAACCATAAAAGCAAAAGGTGAGGAAAGTGTTTAGTCTTGCTAATGTGCAGAATCTGTTAGACACCCTACCCTTGTCATGACAGCTTGAAATGTAGACAGTTAAGGCCAGGATTTTCTAGGCTAGGAGTCATCTCATGATCCTCTCCTTGCCTGGGTTCCTTCATTGTTCACAGTGCACTCAGATTCCCTAAGAACATGCAGTGTGTGCAGTGCAAACAGCTACACTGTCTTTCCAAAGCACACAAATTTAACCTGTGAGGTTTAGCTTTCAAGAAAGAAAAGTAAGTACAAAAGGATGAGGGACTCAATTTCAGCATGAAAGGTGTATTTAAAAAGGATTATAAAAATTGCCTGCGAAGCTGGGTGTGTAATCCCAGCACTCAGGAGGCTGAGGCAGGAGGATTGCTGAGAGTTTGTCAGTCTGGGCCATAAAGTGGAATGAAGGCCAGCCTGAACTGCATAGTGAGACCCCTCTCTCAAAAAGACCAAAAACATAAACTTAAAAAGAAAAAAGCCTGTGAGAACAAGCTTTGGAAAAGATAGTTATCTTTTTTACTAGAAAGATTAATAATAATTTTTAAATTCTAAAAAATGTGATATTAAAAACCCTTGTGTACAGTGCACAGCATGCATTAATAAGGGGAGGCCAGGGATACAGCTCAGTGACGCAAGTGCCTGCCTGGGAAGTACAGGGACCTGAGTTCAATCCCTAGTACAAACAAAAATTAAGTGAACTATGGAGCCAGGTTCTGTTTTAGGACTTTGAAGGTAATATCAACTTTTTACAGTCTTTCACAGAGCACATTTATTATCACTGAGTGGTACCAAAGAGATAACTGCATTGTTAATGTTAGCAGAATGAAATCCGTGCCTTGGTAAACAGAACTCTTGAAATACGAAGCTTTAACAGGTACTATCTGACTATTTTCCTATCAAGGTGGCTTGGTTATTTGGAAAACCAGAGATTTTCAACAATTCATTAATACAGTACAGAAAAGACAACTAATGAGTAGCAAGAGATGATGAAAGCTCTGTCTCCCACCCCATTCCTGGGGATCAAACCCAGGCCCCTGCTTCTAAGAGCAAATACTACTTCCCCAGCCTGGAAACTGCCTTTGTCAAGGTCATACAGTCGACTTCAAATTCAAACTCTTCCAGGTTGAATTATTTCAGGGTTCTAGGTGTTTGTGTATGTCTTGCGAAATATACACTCTTAGGCATCTATTTGCAAAATCTGTCCATTGTCCAGTTAGCAGGGTAGAACTTTTGGTAGAGCTAACTCAATCATCAGTGTGATCTTTATCACTTCAAGGAGTGAACATAATTTGCCATTTTTTTGAAAGCCATGAATAAATAAACATGAATTGTTACAGCATTTATTCTGTATTCATAATCAGTACATAAATTCAGTTTGAAGCCTTTTCTTTAGAGTAGTATTTCTTTTATATTAGCATCTCATCCACAGTAATATAATACTAATTTTAATGAGAAAAAGAAAATGGAGTTCTTACTTTCATAATAGCTTATCCACTTAACATTTTTACAGACAAAGAACTATAAATATGTAACATTAAGCAGGCCTTCTGTAACTAATCACAAGTCAGAATGAATGTACTTTTTCTTTAACAATCACGCTATCAAACCACTGCTGTATTCAGAGCACCACCTTCCCCATACCAGACTGCACGAACTCCCTTCCCAGCTTCTGCTGTCACCGCTGCCTAGGCTGTGCTCACGAGGGCACGGAGCCATTCCATTATCAGAGTCTGTGGCAGATAGTGTGCCTAATTGCGGTGAATCAATGTGAATTTAATTGGGACGCCTACATTTTATGTAGCTTCATTTTAATAAGTTTTTGTAACTAAAGGATCACGACAAAAGAATTTTCAAAAGTGTACCTTAGGAGCTGGGGGTTTAGCTCAGCAGCGTAAGTGTCTGCCTTGCAAGTGCACAGTTGTGAATCCGATCCCCAATACCGGTAAAAAAAAGTGTACCCTAAAGTGTACTATGAATTGAAATTTTGAATTCTGTATAAGAAACTTCATTTTACACAATAACACATCATAGGAATTTGCACCTAAGGAACTGTGAAGCTTAAATGAAGGTATTTTTAAAATGCAGAAACAGCAGGCAGATACACATGAAATTAGACTTTATATATTTCAGTAAAGTTAACATTAAAAGGATCTTTTTGAACAATAGGATTCTAATATTATTTTTAAAATTCTGCTATAAATCCTTAGAAAATTATTAACTATAAAAATAAGGCAACTTGAAGTTACCTGACTGGTGCTCTTTCATGATCTATATCTTTAACAGTCTTTGCAAGTTTATTTACTTACGTACAGTCCACTGGTGAAATAACAATCTCTCAGGTGCATCAGAGAGTTTCTAAGCCCCTACTAAATAGTAGCCCAATTAAAATCACAAACGTTATATTGTCAACTACATTATCTTGAAAAAAATTATGCAGGCAGCTCTTTTACAGAACTATTTGTGCCACATGCTTATTATTCTTTGAGCTGGAGGAGGTGGCAGGGAACATAATTTCTGTTTGAAAGTTCTTTTGTTTTCTGTTACCTTTACTTAAATGTTACCAGGTACTATTTTTATATCCTGTAAAATGCTTTGAAAAAAAATTAAGTGGATATTGCTATATAAAATAGAAGTTTCATATTTTGTGATGTAAGAAGCAAACTGAGTAATACTTGATTCAGGGAAGGTAATCTATTTAAAAGATTAACATATATCTGGTAAACTCAAACTCTGTAAAAATTTTCAGTTCAAAAGAGAAACTGAATCCTAGTTAATAAGTGTTCATTAAAAGCAACATTTATACAACAAATTCATATGAAAATGAATGTGGTATGTTAAATTTAAATGACCATTTTAATGTTATTTGGATATGACAGAATCAGAACCTATTTATGTTCACTTAGTTTTGCATGAAAAGGCCAGATTGCCTAAACACTATTATAATATTTATTTATTTATGGTACCAGGAATTGAACTCAGGATCTTGCACTTGCCAAGCAGGTGCTGTGCTGCTCAGCTATATCACCCCAGTCCTGCTATATTTTATGAGAGGTTTCTAAGCCATCAAATTCTTACTTATTTTTATAAAAATAATGCAATTTTGATCATGTTAGAATTTACTATCATTGGGTTTGACCATGTAGCAGCTAAATTAAATGAGACCAATTAATTTCTGGATTTTTCCTTTTGGTTTAGTTTTTGTTTTTTGTCTGACACAGGGTCTCACTATGCAGTTCAGGTTGGCCTTGAGCTCACTTTGTAGCCCAGGTTAGTCTTGACCTCGTAACAATCCTCTTGCCTCAGCCTCCTCAGTGCTGAGGTCACAGGCATGCACCACCATGCCCAGCTGGATTCTGTTTTTAAACAGAAATCCTCCTTATGTAATTTACCAGATTAGGTTGAAAAGAAACTGCTTAAGTATGAATAAGAGTATAGGTCCCATCATATAAAAATAATCCTTATAATGCATTCTAATCAAAAATACACTTATCAAATCACTGTGAAAAAACATAGAAACTATTAAGATAAAAATGTTATTTTCTTAACCAATAATTCACATAGTTATCTTATATCTGTTTTTTAAAGTTCCCAAAATAAGACTAAACCTTCCAAAATATTTTCAGTAACAGGTGCTATATTCTGCTTTTTCCTAAGAAACTACTAAAAACAATGGAACTGCATCAGCTTGGCACCATGCTTGTGACAAATTTTAGGATTCTTCAAAACTGTAAAACCCACCAACCTTAACCAGGTTATTTACACTGCTCATTTTAAAATATATTTGCTGGTAGCTATGTATTAGCACCACATATAGTGAACTGAAGAATTTTTTCAAAGATGCCTTACTCTTTTATTAATAAAAAATGTTTAAAAGTTGTATAATTAGAATAAATTGATTTCTTGGTATATGTTTTGAAAAACCCACTTTTTATCTCGTTGAATGGAAGGGTTTTCCCCCCAAGATTATAAACATGAAGGAAAATCTGGGGGAAATACTTTCACACACTGACAAAGAATCTTGCTAATATTCATTATTTGCTTCTGTCAAAGGTTCCATTAGTATGTACAGACACAGACACACAACTCAAAACTGTAGGAGAAAATTAGCACTTACTTTCTATATGCAACCCATTACTAATGCAAGATTCAGCCAGGTCACTTCAGATATCTAATATTCTTTTCCTCCAAGATGAAGATCGTTAACAGATACTTTGGCATTCATACTTCATCAGCTTCCTTGACTTCGTTGTTTCAGGTAGTTACACCATGACTCAGCTCAGACAATGAGGGAAAGTAGGGTAGGAACCCTCACCAGTGAGGTAGGGAAGTGTGTCGCAGGGTCACGGGCACTTCATACAAGGAAACACTGACACAGGATCGCTTCTTCATAAAATATGGCAATCACCGATGTGATCAGATGCTTCTTTCTAAATAAAATGCAAATGAGCCCTTCTCATTTTTATAAAGTATTAACTGGATTGAAAATTGTGAATAGTTAATTTTAAATATTCGTGTAAAATGCCTTTTACTGGTCTCAACACAGAGTCACAATGATAAAACACTGACACTGAAAATATGTGCCCTAGCAGTAACTGTACACGGCTGGTTCCTGGCCAGGAGTAAATGTTTTCGCTCCAATGTTATGATTTTCTAGGACCGTACCGTCAGGCCCAGCAGAATGCACTTTTCTGTTTGAGAAGTTGATGACTAGAGACCTTAGGAAGGTATTTCTGCAAGAGGAACACTGTTTTATCCATGATAGTTACTTGGGAAGTTTGTCTCCTGGATTAAAAGTGTGATTCCCCTTCTTGTATTTGTAAAGGTTTCAGCAGAAAAGCCCATGCAGAAATAGACATATGGAGGTGGCTGGGGACAAAAGCAAGGTGGAGGGGGAAATGTGCTTGCCCCTATTTCCACACTTCTGCACTTGGAACTCATAAATGGCTTTTGTAAGGGGCTTGAGCAAAACTAGAAAATCACTCACTTAGTGCCAGGATGCATATTCTGTACACACTCTGCTGAAATTAGGAAAATGCAGTATGTTTTGTGAGGTGAGACTACTGCTGAAGAGTGTAATAAAATCATTCACAAAAATAACTCACCTTATTCACCATTTTAAACACTATAAAAGTGCACTGTGAAAAAAAAAAGGTCTTTGAAAACCAAATGTGATGTTGGGTTCACAGAGTCAAACTATCAAAAGGAAACCAGAGTTTGTAACCCCAGGAAAGAGCCAGTAAGAAGGTGTGACATACTGTAAGTGCTCAATAAACACATCTTCCTTCCCCAAAGGACTCGTCTCCACTTAGCACCTCCTGATATGTCCCTTTGCATTGCACTAGACACGACTGCACTTCAGTGGTAAAGAGTTTCATAAACTTGATCTATTTTGTAGTACTTCTGTGCTGCAAATGTACCTTTAAACTCCGTAGATGATAAATCTCTTATTTGTTACTGAATACGAAATGCCACAAATGTGTAAAGAGTTCATCTGTAGGCTTTTTGTCTCTCATGCCTTGGAAATTAAGTCACTGTAGAAGAGAGTTTATTATCATCAGAAGCCATTTCATTAACCAGCTGTTCTATAGACAACTGGATAGCATTCTTGACGAGAGAAGAAGCTGTTTCTATCAAGAGTGTTTCATATTGTTCTGAAGTTCTACCCGCAAAATCACTGTTGTTAGCAAAATACCCTACTTGCTCATGTTCAACGGAAATTAAGAATTGCTTAGGGACATTTTTAGATTTTTTAACATCAAATTCACTGACTTCTGTGTCTGTAATAATAATAGCAATTGGCTCCATTCTTTTGCTTTCTTCTGATTTGGGTTTCTCGACATTGATCTCATTTTCTTTCAAGGCAGGTTCCTGGCTCAATTCAGTATCTTTTAGCTTATTTTCTTCTTCAGCTACAGTCTCTCTGCTTTCACGGTCTTTCCAGTTTGCGTCACCTCTTAGGGTACTGTTACTGGATTTTTCCAGAGTTTGCTGATCTGGCGTTGTGGGTGAAGGAATAGCTTCAGAAGCCTCCAGTTGCTGATCAACTGTTTCTGAACTTTCAAATGGTTCAGTCCCTGCTTGCTGGGACTGAACACTTTGCTTCTCTATCATTTCTGTTTCCTTTTCAAGGGCTGAAGTTCCTGTTTGAATAGCAGAATGCCCACCATCTAATTCAAGTTCTACTGAGATTACATTCTCTGCAGGCATTATGCTGTTGCTCACATTTGACTCAAAGAATTCATTGCCATCTTTTTGTAAGATGCCTTCATTTGGATCTTGGGTGGACTTAGGCTTTGTTGCCTGGTCGTTGGGTTGGGTCTGAGTTTGTATACCCAAAGCTTGGTCCTCGCCCTGGACTTTGAGATTGCAGCCCGAGTCTTCTGTAATTTTGGAATGGTTATTCTTTTGTGCTCCTCTTGAGAATTTTATGCAGGGAATCTTAAGTCTGGATTTAGCCTTTTTCTTAGGGAGATCAGCCTTTATTTCAGGCTGCACCTCAGCCTCCAGTGGCTTTGGCTGCTTTGAAGGATCTGACCTTTTCCTGACTGTCACTAGGCCTTTGATGGAGGCCCAGGCACCCCCTGGCCGCTGGGGCTGGTCAGAAGCTCCTGCTTTTAGGGGACCCTTGCTCACCACAGCAGCAGCCTCGGCACCAGCTTTGGACTTCAGCACCTTGGCTGTTTTCTTTCTTCTCTTGAAGCAAAGCATGGATGTTTTCTTCTTCTGTCTCTCATCCCGAGGGCTGACTTCTGCAGATCTCTTCTCGTCCTTATTTTCTACTTGAATTTCAGAAACTGTGGCCTCCATTTTTACACTGTATTCTTTAGAAAACTGTATTCTCTTTTTCCTGTGGCATCCTTACAGAAGGTGGACAAAACTATGACGAGTCAGTTAAAAACATTTTCCAGGTGTATTCATTTCTTTCGCCTTACTCCATTCCGTTTAGATATCTCCAATACACAAATACCTAGTTTCTCTATAGCTTTAACATTTTCTCTTTAATTTCTTCATGAAAACTCTTAACTCTGTACATGTTTGTTTACTTAAAGATCAACCTGATAAGAGAAAAGAAAATGGTATTTTATTTTACAATGAGCCTATTTTCAAAGAGATCACTTCAGCTGAATTTTTTTTTTTGAATGGAGATTTTTACCAGGTAGGTTTTCTATATAACTTACTGAAAGTGACTGGAGAATAAAATTGGAGTCTACTTTTTGTGCTGTCAACTGTCAAAAAGATTTCAATGTACATATATTTTGTTTTTATTCTTTTTGTTAAATTTTCATTTTGGATTACTGTGCAGATCTGATATTACTCATTATTTAGCTATCCTGTCTTTATGCATTATTTATGACCTGAAATTGCAAGTTTAGCAAACAATAACAAAAAAAATGAAATGAAATGTAATGCAAATTTTATCATATACAATTAAGAATTTTGAAGCTACAAGCTGGGGGTGGTAATACATGACTGTAATCCCAGCACTTGGAAGACTCGCAGGAGGATTAAAGTAAGTTCAAGGCCAGCCTGGACTACATGGCAAGTTCAAGGCCAGTCTAAACTGCACTGCAAGACTCTGTCTCAAAAAAAAAGTTTTGGAAGTTCCAAAGTACATTAGAGATTTGAGATCATTCAATCCAGCAAGATGATAAAATTGAGCTCCAAAGGGGTCAACTGGTCTGCCAAAAGCCATACTACCCAATAAGGTCCTAGCCAGAGATAGAAACTTGAGATTTTTACTCTCTAGTTTCTTCCATTGTATCATAATATTTCTCTTCTAAAAATCTATGATCCATGAAGGAGGTGCTACTTTTCATACATCCTCTTAGGAAACTCTAACATTGCTATCATTCTTTGCTTAAGTTACTTGTGTACTTCTGACATTTAGCTGTTGCTCATACCTTTCCACTCGACTGTGCACATAGTTGGAGACAGAGTTAATGATGATAATAGCGGACATTTATGGAGCAACTCTTGTGTATCAGGCAGGCTAAGCACATTTACATACATCTCTAGCCTACCCAAAATATCACAGAGTGAGTAGGTGGTGGTACCTCTGTCTCTAAATGAAGCAGCTTGCCTGAAATTACGAAACTGCCCAAGACTGCCTGTTTTGAAGCCTGTGCTGGGCTTTAAGAATTTCATTAGAAGCTGGGCATGATAGCATATTCCTGTAATCCCAACACTCAGGAAGCTGAGGCAGGAGGATCATTGTGAGTTCCGGACCAGCCTGGACTACAAAGTGAGCTCAAGGCCAGCTGAATTGCATAGTGAGACCCTGTCCCAAAAAGACAAAATTTTAAAAAAATTTCATCAGAGCTGGGCTGGTGACACATGCCTATAATCCCATACTCAGAAGGCTGAACAGGAGGACCACAGTGAGGCTAGCCTGCACAACAGAGTTCAAGGGCAGCCTAGACCACATTGTAAGACTCTGTCTCAATAACCAAGTAACAGTAAAAAGAATATCATCAAAAATGAACTCTTTGGACATGCTAATATGTAATAGACTTACTAGTGTAAAATTTTTAATTGCTTAATGGTGCTTTTTTCCTAATAGGACTGGGGCTTAAATCTAGAGTATGTATATATGTATGTATTGTCTTTTTGGGACAGAGTTTTGATATGCTGTGAAGGCTGGCCTCAAACTCAACAGTGCTGCCCCAGCCTTCCAAGTGCTGGGATTACAAGCTTGCACCACCATGTCTAGCAAGTTCTTGCTGTTTTAAAACCAACCTTTATTTCTTTGGTTCTTGAATATAAAAGCCAAATATAAATTGGCAAACTGTGCATCTGGCAAACTAGTTATATGTAGGTAAAAAGATATATTTAAAAATTAATGTACAAACTAGTATGCAGCACCAAGGAATAGAGATATGAAGCAATTATCTAACAAAAATCCTCTTAATTTTAGTTGGTAGATGCCCTAAAATAGGCAAAGGGAGTCTTTCCTCTTAATATTTGCATGTAATTCCATTTGGGTGGCCCTTCACTCCATGAACAGTAGAAAAAACTGGAACCCTGAAAAATTCAGCTTATGAACCAAGAAAAATTTTTTCAGGTTGGGTATTGCGTATTTAATGCCTCTAACACAAAGACAGTCATTCTAAAACACTGATAGAGCAAAAATAACACCTTACAGCGTCTCTTACACAGAACACTTCAACAAGCACCGAGCTCTGATTCCATCTTTTGGAGCCCTCTCTGCCTGACTTTGTGTTAAGCAGAGGTTGGATCAGTGACACAGCATGAGACTGGATCGTGTTTAGGAAGGCAGCGTTTAAAACAAACTTCAACTGTGCAGAGACAGTTGCTCCAGAAGCTCGCTGGAATCTGTCAGCTGCAGAGGTAAAGCAGAGCCCCACAGAAGGAAGCCGGCTGAGGTAGGGAGACCAAGCCTGTAGATGGAACACTTGACAAAACCTTAGACTGCAAATGACAAAATGCGCCCTTATTCTGCAAGGTAGCTTTATTGGCTCAGGAAACCTTTAGGTCCCTGCTGTCCTTCCTTTCCTGGCAGAGTGCCACGTCTCAGGCCACACAAGCCATCACCTCCCCTTTCCCCCTAGAGCAGTGAAGAGCCACCACCACCTGCAGAAAGCCTCTCCCAGCACCAGGCATGGACCAGGAGCTTCCTCCTGGAAGAAGCAGCCTCTCTCTGACTCGACGCCTTCTCTCGGGATAAAGTACTCGAAAAGGAAAATGCCGGGGGCGTGGAACAGAGAATCTAGCCTCAAGCTATGTGCAAAATTGTAATGGCCACGAACCTAAAAACCACCTTTCCCAAAAAAAGGGGAAGCAAGGAACAAGCTCTCCACAACCTCTGCTCCAGGACAGGAGGTAGCAGGAGGTGGGTAAGTGGGCTGGCGATGTCCGCGGCCAACGACCTGCCGGGTTCCTTCTGCAGAACCCGCGTCCGGGGTCCTTCCCGCCCAGAAGACCGGCAGGCTGGACCCCCCTCAGCCGCCTCTGCTTTCACTCACCGAGAGCACCTGGGTCCCCGGCCGATCTTGCTCCCGAGGTCCGGCGCCGCGTCCCCACCGCGCCAGGCAGCCGGGATCGCCGAGCCGGGGACCGCAGGCGGCGGCGCCCACTCCCGGGCGCGGAGACCGACAGCTGGCGGCGCCAATGCGCTGCGCGGAGCGGCGGGGCGGGGCTCGGCCGGGGCGGCAAGGCGGGGCGGCCCGGGTGGGGGTCCCGGGACCACCCACGAGCGGCTACCGCGGCGTGGGGAGGCGGCCGTGGGGCGGAGGGTCTGGCCCACCCGGATTCACGCCGCGGGATCTCACGAGGCGCGATCGCGCGCGGTGGCAGAGCGTCCACCGAGCGCAGAGCTGCAAGATGGGAGGGGGCCGGGGATGGAAGCTGCATGGAGAAAAGAGACGCCCTTTGGAGAGAAAACTGCGTATGCGAATCGGAACAAAACAAAACTTTTGTCAGGAGTAAATTTCCGGAGGATCCCGGTTCGGTTCGCAGGTGGTGGAGACGACGCGCAGTCAATCCGTGGTCTGCGGGAGCAGCCGTATCCGGACCGACGGGGTGAGGAAGGGTACCGGGTGCAGCCCCGGCCCCTTGTTACGGATTAGCAAAAGTACACTGAGGCAGCCGCTTACAAATTGCTCATGTTCCCCTGCAGGGCATTGCTAGACGAGAGTCGGCCTGACCCTGTCCCTCTCTACGCGGAGGTGGAGAACCGGAGAGGGCGTCCTGGCTTCCAGACCAGCCCAGAGCAAAGCGCTCAGGTACCTCTAGTCTCCGGCCTGGGGGCTGGGTCGTTTTCCCGGACCTTTATCTAAACAAGGTGAAAAGCAGCAGCATTCATCTGTCCACCTGAAGCACACGTTCACCCAACACCAAGGGTTCCTATGAGACCTCGGTGCCCTGGGGGTGCCCTCCGGGAGCTCCAGCCTCTGAATCTAACAAGGTTCATTGTAATCCCAGGGTCTTGAGGCCCGGAACACAGCTCAGCGGCACAGTGCCTGCCTGGCAAGTGCAAGGTCATAATAAATTTGATTCCGGGTACCAAAAATAAGTGAATGAATGAATAAATAAATAAATAAAACAGAAGGGGCTGGGGATTTAGCTCAGCGGCATAAGCACCTGTCTTGCAAGCATGCGGTCGTGAGTTCGATCCTTGGTACCGATAAAAATGAAAAAGACAAAAATAAAAAAAATTAAAAAAACAGAAACCTAAACGATCCCTGGCTCCTCTGCCCTTCCTCGCCCTGCTGCCAGATGAAGCCTTCTGTGAGGTAGAATTTCTGAGAAACAGCTGCACTCCTCCCCTTTCTTTAGTGGGAGGGTCAGTCCCTGGTATCCATTTTTGGATGTTTTTCTAGGAAGACAGGCCACCTTTGTAAAATTTTCTAGACTGGTCTAGACTAGACCAAGACAAAAAAATAAATAAATAAATTCCACCAAGCTGAGTCCCAATTGTCAAGATCTTAGGGAAACGGAGAGACAAGAGCTGTAAAAGAGGAATCACTTTGGTTTTAATTTGTGTTATATTACAATTCAAGGGTTTGCATGGTACCAGACTCCTGTGATTCCAGCACTCCGGAGGCTGAGGCAGGAGGATCACTATGAGTTTAAGGCTGGCTTGGGGTACAGAAGTGAGTTCAAGGAAGCCCGAATTACATAGCAAGACCCTATCTCAAAAAAGGCATCCCCTTTTGGTTTCTCCAAAAGCAAGAATTCAAGCCTGCCTAAAGGTGTATACCTGTAATCCCAGATTTCTGGGAGGCTGAGAGAGGACTGCAAGTGTGAGCCAGCCTGGGCAACTTCATAAAAGCCTGTCTCAAAATAAAGGGCTCGTGCTGAAGCTCAGTGTGAACCCCCAGAACTAGGTGTGTTGGGGGGTTCAATTCAGCTTTGTTCATCCAGCAAGCGCAGGTCAGGAAAAATCCCCTATCTATCCCTGTACAGATTGCTAACACCGCTTCTAACACGGTCAGCTTTGCACAAGCCAGGAGAGCTGTGCCATGAATAAGCAACTGAGATGCTTTATTCACTCTCAAACCCCAGGATCTCCCAAACCCAGCAGGGCTGAGAGTTCACAGCAGTTTAAGCCAAAAGTAAGATGAGCTTAACTAGCTGCAGACAGGGCAGAACAACTGCCTTATTAGAATAAGGATATCCAGGTGAGATAATAAAGGTCACTTTAATGACTTAATCTTTTTCTTAGGGGGGAGATAAAAGGAAGGAGTCAAAAGGCAAATTTGAGGTAAGTCATGAATTTATCTTATATTTGAAGGGAAAATTACAACAGATTTCTTTGTGTTGTATTACTATTAACTTGTCCCAATCTCTACCACACACACACACACACACACACACACACACACACACACACACACACAAAGGCAGAGTATAGTACTATAAATAAAATACTGCATTGTGGTTTTTCTTTAGGATGGATATTTTAAATATATCCAGTACCTCATGCATGAAAGAAACCTGCCATCCCTAAAAGCACTTAAGTGACAGTTAAGACTGTTGAAGCTATTAACCATATCACCACTATTCCATTAATAGCTTTGCATTATACAATAGGAAACAGCTATAAATACATCTCCCCAATCTCACAAGAAACTATCCTTACATCTTGTTTTGCTAGTATCACTAGCTAGTTTGCCAATAAAATAGCTTACATATTTATCTGAACAACTGGTCATGATTTTTCCCATCCGGTCCCTGTCCACCCACAGTCCAGGCCCACAGCTACTAAAAATGGTTCATAATGCCTTGTTCCTGACTCTGACATTGCAGAGACTTTTGGAGAAGTCAGAAGGTCTCCAACTCCTTCCTGTGACACACCGCGAAATTAACCAATGGCTCCAGTTCTCTGGTGCTTTGATCTGAGCCAGCACAAACCCAGCAGCAGTTCGGCTGCAATCTGCTCCACTTGGCAGCTCATCATTGCTGCTGTCACTTGTGAAGTAAGAGTGTATACACAGCGTCGATGCGGTGACAGCCTCAGAGGTACAGAGCAGAGAAGGTGCAGGCTGTTTATCAGCAATATGAGTAATCTCAGGGGTTGGGGACTCAGCTTGGCTACATGGCGCGAGGCCTTAGGTTTGGTCCTCAGCATACACACACACAGAACCCTGATTGGGGTGGGAAGGCATGAACAGCCCAGAGAAGGGTGCAAACGGGCCCAGGGAGCCAGTGACATAGAGGGACTCTCAGCTTCAAGCAAAGGCACTGGACCATTTCTGGTGACACTGACAGGTCCTACAAGCATGGATGCCCCTATGGGTGTCACTTGCCAGCAGTTACTCTGCCATTTATGCTGTCACTGGAAAGAACATTTGTAAGCTTGTACATGTGACACATTTTCCTTATCAAAGACTGAAGAATCAATTCCCATGCACAGGACTGTTCTGTACCTTCCTAACCTGTTTCTTCTTCCTCTCCTTCCGCCTGTGTCCACCCTTCCTGGGGGGGTGGAACATGGCACAGATTGCCACCTTCCATGCCTTCTCGGAGGAGCTGAGGAAAGAGGAGAGGCTCTGGACAGCCTGGCAAGTTCATCCTGCAGGCGCCGATGATCATCTGCCTTTCTGTAAACTGGGAAAAGAAACCTAATTTAAAGATTTGTTCTATTATAATTCCCTGCTGTACCAAACATCAGCTCTCTCTTTGAAGCCACAAGTCACCCTCTGAGCAACACCATTACTAGGAACTTATCCTATAGGTACTTTCACACAAGATGCAGACACACTCCTTAAGTGTATTCACTGCTACATTATTTGTTTTGTTTCTGAGACACAGTCTCCCCACTTAGCTCAGGCTGACCTCAAACTCAAGATTCTCCTGCCTCAGCTTCCTAAGTGCTACAACTACACAGGCAGATACCACCAGTCTGACTTACACACTGCTACATTAATATTATTATTGTTATTATTAGGTACCAGTAATTGAACTCACAACCTCACGCTTGCCAAGTAGATGCTGTCCCACTGAGCTGTCTCCCCAGCCTTTATATTATTTGCAATAACAATAACTGTGGAACAATTACAAGTGTCTGCCAGCTGAGAAAGAGGACTGTTTTGTACCACGCAGCCGGAAGAAGCTAGGTAGAGATCAAACTGCTGAGGAGGTAAGATCTCTAAGACACACTGCTAAGCAGAAAAAGCAAGTTGTACCATGAATTTTTACTGAAGGCATGTTTTATGGTCCACTCATTCCAATCAACAATAGAGAAAAACAATTTGGATTATTTATTGAATCGGGCTTTACTTATAATCCCTGGCATATAAATCTCCACCTACCCTCTGCAGTCGTGTTCACTACTCTGACCAGTACTGAGATTTAACTCCTTGTGGGCAGGAAGCCTGTGTCAGTCGCCGTGCCTGACAAGCCTGCTTCCTTCCTCCCACCATTTACAAAGTAAGTGCTCAGTGAGTCCCTCTCCAGATGAAGTTCTTCAGGCTATTTAAAAACCCATCGGAAGCCATGCACTGTCTGCAGCCAGGACCTGAGGGGTCCTTGGAACAGAGACCACGCGACGGAGTGCTCACAGCATACCAGGCACTGTACAAAGCTCTCCTGCACCGCGGCCCTCTTGAAGTGCCTGCTTCCCTGCGGCCCAGTGGAGGCAGAGGTGGGCCGAGGGCACAGGACGCCATCAGCTTTCACCACTACAAACCTGACTGGATCACAACACTGACGGGAGCCCAGGGGGCTAAATACAGTGAAATGGGGGCTCCCGGAGAAGCCCAGGCAGGTCTGCCCCCAGCAGGGTTTAGCATGGATGGCAGCAACAATTCCACATTCACTAAGAGGGCCCACGGCAGAAAGGTAAGGGGAGAAGAAAGGGACAGAGAGACCTAGAAAAGAGGGGTAGAACAGGAAGAAAAGTGGGGCTATTTTAGGAGAAACCACACCGTCCTGGAGGGAGGCGTAAAGCCCTGGGGCTTGCATCTCCTTATTATGGACTTTTTTTTTTTGGTCTTTCTGAGACAGGTTCTCACTATGCAGTTCACGCTGGTCTTGGGCTCACTTTGTAGCCCAGGCTGGTCTCAAATTTGCCAACGATCCTCCTGCCTCAGCCTCCCAAGTGCTGGGGTTACCATGCCTGACATTCTTTTTTTTTTTTTTATTGAAGGAGAAAAAGAAAAAACAGAAAAAGGGTACAA